CTAATTTCTTCTTTTTGTGTTAGGACATCTGGGCTGACAAATACATAGCAGTGGGGTAATCAGATGCCTAAAGTTTCTTGTAGCAAAGACCTCTCTTACTGAATTTATTTCAACTTTCTTCGTAATATTTTTTTCCAGTTTGTGAGCCAGTATTCCCATTAGTGTTAGCAATGAAGAAAATATTGAGAGATGATGTCACCTGTACTACAGAATGTGGCTGGCTTCTTTTTGTTTCAGACACTGTGCAGAAATAGGATATTGCCAAATCCTGCTTCATATGTTTGCTTTCAAAATCCACTTTTAAAGGTTAAGATTTTGATTATGGTATCATAAATCGGGGGGATGTAGCTGGAAGCAACATTTGTTTAAGCCACAGTAGCAGCCTAAAAAGACCTGCACATAAGAGCAAGGAGGACCTTTGTGCTCTGAACATTAGCATTCTCCCCGCATTAAATCTTGGAAGCTTTGTGAAATACTTCTTCATGCCCCTTTTCCCTACTCCAAATGAAGCCCACTGTTGTTCACTTGGATCATCCCAACGTGGACTGAGTTGGGGTTTAGGATTTTGGAGAGGTTCAGGGAAATGGATTTTTTTGTGCCTAAAATATAGTTCCCTTTATATGTAAAGGAGGAGATCTTTGTCTCTGCTCTTGTCTCCCACCTGCAACACCAGGACCGGGGATGCCCAGCCGGTAGAGCTAGAGTCTGTGCTTAGTTACCAACCTTTTAAATAAAATGAATAGATTTTTCTCTCTATAAGCTGGGAGCCATTGAGCTGATGGAGCCGCTGTCTCCGTTCTTGTTCAGCCATAGGGAGATGAGAATGTAATGGTCAGTCTCAGCAGCCCATCCTCTTTCCTTCTATCCACTTAGATTCATAGATTCCAAGGCCAGAAGGGACCATTGTGATCATCTAATCTGACCCCCTGTGTAACACAGGCCAGAGAACTTCCTCAAAATCATTCCAGGAGTGTATCTTTTAGAAAAACTTCCAATTTTGAATTAAAAATTGTCAGTGATGCAGAACCTGCCCAGGACTCTTGGTAAATTGTTTCTATGGTTAATAACTCTCACTGTTAAAAATTTTACACCTTATTTCCAGTCTGAATTTATCTGTCTTCAATTTCCGGCTACAAGAATTGTGTTATACCTTTCTCTGCTAGATTGAAGATCCCAATGTTAAATATTTGTTTTGCATGTATATACTTATAGACTCTAATCAAGTTACCCCTTAACCTTCTCTTTGTTCAGTATAAATAGATGGAGAACTTTGATTCTGTCACTAGAAGGCATGTTCTCTAATCCTTTAATCGTTCTTATGGCTCTTCTCCAACTTATAAACTTCCTTCTTGAATTTTGGGCACCAGAATTGGACACAGTATTACAGCAGCAGTTACACCAATGCCAGATACAGAGATAAAAATAACCTCTCTACTCCTACTTGAGATTTGCCTGTTTGTGCGTCCCAGGGTTGCATTGGCTCTTTTGGCCACAGTGTGACACTGGGAGCTCATGTTCAGCTGATTATCCACCACAACCACCAAATCTTTTTCGCAGTCGCCCCCATCCTGAAAGTAAGGTCTGTATTCTTTGTTTTTAGATGTATACATTTACATTTAGCCTTATTAAAACACACATTGTTTGCCCAGTGTACCAAGCGATCCAGATTGCTCTGAATCAGTGAACGGTCCTCTTCATTATTTGCCACTCCCCCAGTTTTTGGGTCCTCTGCAAAGTTTTATCAGTGATCACTTGGGTGGGAGAGACTACTTCTTCTCGAAGGGTGGGAGCACAAGGAAGAGGACAGCAATTTCTTTCTTCCTTCCTGCCAGTGGGAAAGAAAATGATGTGTGAAGGGGAAAGGGTGAGATCAGTGCTCAGGAATGGTTTCCCTGAGTGGAAATGTAATTGATCTTGTGAAGAGCTTACAGATGAGTTTCTTACTGCACCCCTCAGGCGGGCATGTACTGACGGGATGAAGGCACAGAAGTTTTTTCCATCCTCCTACACAAACCCAGTACAAGATTGAAGGCTACTTGATGCTTTTGAATCAGATTCATTTTTTCCAGGCAAGTGCTGCCTCCTGCTGCTTAAGCAGGTAATGAGACATTCCTCTAGGAGATGAAGAGGAAAGAATAAACATAAAAATAGAGCAGAATTTAGCCTATAATATCCTAGCGCTCAATGGTGGCAGATGGACTGTAAAGCATCCCTCTGCTAACATGATCCTGAATTTAGGAGTAAGTTCTTTTGAATAATTCCAACATTTGAAAGTGTGCTTGTTCTGTTGTGTGTCCAGGGCTATGATTCCAGCCCCGAAGCCTGAATGAAGCTTGCTTAGGAAATAAGCAGTGCTAGAACCAGCAAGAAGTAGTTTAAATACAGGAATCATAACCTGGGTTAATTTTAAAAGTTAAAAATTAAATCATGGCATTAAAAAACATCCTCCTATTACTTATGTTCAGTCTCTACTAAGCAAAGACCAGTCTTTCTGTGTGTCTTATGTTTGTGAAGATGAATTTAAGGTACCTATTCTCCTTCAAAATAGTTTTATTCACAGAATTGTGTCCAGGACAAAATTCTAGACAACACTGCCTCAAAGTCTGCTCAGTTTCATGATTGCTTTGGGAATGTGTATGGATTTTAACTTCAATTGAACATCCTATATTTCCTTTGATATGGTCCTAGAAATGTAAGTTATGTTCCAATGCTAATGAATTAATCCCTTCACCACAAGGTTGTGTGTATAGCAAGCTGGTGCTGAGGAAATAAACCACAGCTTTTCCACTTCCTGCACTAATATATAATATTACTATGTTTTAAAAAAAGCATGGCAAAGAACATTAAGGTTGCAATCAACTCAAAAGTTAGGAAATGCCAGAATTAAGTTTGCCTGTGCAGCATTACTTTGGCCCCTTTGTGTGTCTGGATTATTATCATCAACGATCTACAGCCTATCCTGGAAAATGATTCCTCACTCTCACAGACCTTGGGAAGCAGGCTAATCCTTGCTTACAGACAGCCCCCCAACCTGAAGCAAATACTCACCAGCAACAACACACCACACCACAGAAACACTAACCCAGGAGCCAGTCCCTGTAACAAACCCTGTGGCCTACTCTGTTCCCATATCTACTCTAGTGACACCATCAGAGGACCCAACCACATGAGCCACACCATCGGGGCTCGTTCACCTGAACATCTACTAATGTGATATATGTCATCATGTGCCAATAATGCCCTTCTGCCATTTACTTTGGCCAAACCGGACAGTCTCTATGTAAAAGAATAAATGGACACAAATCAGAAATCACCCTTCACACTTCAATCACAGTTCAGTCTCCCTGGACATTCTATAACAGATTTAAAAGTAGCTATACTTGAACAAAAAAACTTCAAAAGCAGACTTCAAAGAGAAACTGCAGAGTTACAATTCATTTGCAAATTTTACACCATTAATTTGGGCTTGAAATTATGCCCAAATAAATCTGTTAGTCTTTAAGGTGCCACTGGACTCCATGTTGTTTTTGTGGATACAGACTAACACGGATACCCCTCTGATACTGGATTATGATTAAAATCTCTATGGGAAGTTTTCTTCGCTCCAGGGTGGATGTAAATATGTCTCTGAAACTCTACAGCCTGGTAGTTATGGCTCTGGCCTGGAATATGAAAATCCCAGGTTAGTGCCCTAACCAACGGGCTATAGAGCCAGGCTATTGGGTATTCTGTGTTTGTGGATGAGGGATGGTGGTTGTGGTGGTTTCTCTTCCTCCGATGATTTTTCAGGCAACCTTAATTCTGGCATTTATTAACTTCTGAGTGTTCGACTCTGCAACCTTAATGTTCTTTTAGAAAAGTTTTTATTGTGTAACTTTTATATATAGTATGTATGCAGTATGTGAAAGCCCTCTGATGCAACTTTGTTGCTCTCTCTTTTTATGAAGTCATCTCTGCTCCTATTTGGGAATATATTGAGGAGTGGGGGAGAAGAGCACAGTTTGGCTTATATAGCCATTTTATTTGTACAGTATATCTAATCGTAATACAATGTATGAGTTAAAGTTTCCAGTTCAAAGTTCTTGGGAAAAATGTAATGTTTTGTGTTCTTTACACCATTGTATGTTTGTGTAGAAACAGGAAGGAATAAGTAAAGTAAAGAGTTAGTTGAAATAGTTTCATTGTGTGCCAAGATCAGGCTGGTTTTGGGGAAAATCCAAATTATGAATAACTGCAAATAGACTTTGAAAGTGTTCTTTATTAGATTCACAGTGATATTTTTATATGGCCATAGCAAGTAATTTGTTACTGAGGTTCAAATATCTAATTATCCTGCTCCCACAAGTCGGGAACTTTACTGTTATGAGTGGGTATGCTTTGGCACCTTTTTCCTTCTCCAGAAATCTGTTTCCAAGTGTGTATTTTCTAGGTGCTATACCATACATTAAACATATGTGCCGAAATTTTCAAAAGGACTAGTCATTTTGGTTGCCTGATTTGAGACATCTTAAAAGATGACTTTTCAGAGGGCAGGAGCTTAGATTTCTGGAAATTGGACCCCTTTTAAGTACGTCAAGTTGGACATCAGAATCATGAGTCATTTTGAAAAAATGGACCATAAACTATACCAGCTGTCCAATCACCACCACTGCCAAAACCCATGTTGTATTGCAAGTCAGGAGGCAAAAACACCTCTCACGCTCAGAAATGCACTATTTTGCGCCACCTCTGTGCAGATTGCCTCTTTCAGGAGTACAGTAGCTCTGTAAGTATATGTGCATATTAAAGGTGCCTTTTTTTTTTTAAGTAATATCTACAACATCTAAGAATACAATTACAAAGTGGGTGTGTTGACTGTAATTATTTAGTCTAGGATAGCAGAGATGATTTTTGCTAATGTTCAGAAATGCACTTTGTTTTGTGGCCTATATAATGGTTGTAAAGGATCATAAGGTATTATAACCCCCTACCGCCCCCCCCCCCTTTTATTTATTTAACAGCACACCCATGATGGACTTGCTGATTTTTCTCTGTGCACAGTATCATTTAAATCCATCAAGCTATACCATAGACCTGATGTCAGCAGAGAAGAGACAGATTAAATTCAAACCCAACACACCAATTGGAATGCTTGAAGTAGACAAGGTGATTTTAAAGCCAAAACATATGGATAAGAAAAAGCCCACTCCTATAATGCCGGAGGTAAGAATTATACCAACGGTGGTGTTATCTGAAGAGAGAGAGATTAAGTCAGGAGTGCCCAACCTGTGGCTCGGGAGCCACATGCGGCTCTTCAGAAGTTAATATGCAGCTCATCGTATAGGCACCAACTCCAGGGCTGGAGCTACAGGCGCCAACTTTCCCATGTGCCGGGGGGTGCTCACTGCTCAACCCCTGGGTCTGCCACAGGCTCTGTCCCCCCTCCACCCCTTCCTGCCCCCTCCCCTGAGCCTGCAGTACCTTTGCTTCTCCCCCCTTCACCGCCCAGAGTCACCATGAAACAGCTGATCGGGAGGTGTGGGGAGGGAGTGGAAGGCGCTGATCGGCAGAGTGGATGGGAGGCACTGGCAGTATGGGGGAGGAGCTGATGGGGGGCTGCTGACATATTATTGTGGCTGTTTGGCAATGTACATTGGTAAATTCTGGCTCCTTTTCAGGCTCAGGTTGGCCACCCCTGGATTAAGTACTCTACATCTTCTGATTGTAGTCTACCATTGCAGATTGTTTTTATCTAAATGTGATTTATGTTAAATGCAATTTCTCAATAGAATATATTTTCAGATCATGGCCTGGTGGCATCACAATATACCATTACATGGAGATTAGGCTTTAGTCCGTAACTCCAGGGTTTAGATGATTTTGGAATTTTACAATGATGTGAATCTAATTGTTTGTTCTTTTGGGAATGTAAATAATTATATGCAACAATCTGAAGTATAATATAAAGTTACAAATCTCCTCCATGAAAGTATCTTTTGATAAACTCTAAAGATGCTCTATGAGCAGCAGAACTGTACATACATATAGCATCCTTTTCATAAACTGAAAATCCATTGCTCATAAGTCATTATCTGGACTTCTATAACTTATATACCCTTCTGATTACAAATTACGTATATTTCATTTAATATGTGCTCTGCATGTTATTGCTCCATCTTTTGAGAATTTTTCAGTTCAGATGTGTAAATGAGGGATATTCCTCATGCTATGGGAAATAGAAAATAAACTCTTGTATCATTTTTATGAAGCTCTCAAAAAGTACAGAATTAATTTTTTCCTCATTCTATTTCCTCCTTTCTAACTTATGCTTAAGTGAATTGTAACTTTAAGTCTACACAGCGGAGACTATTATTGGCATAGCTACATCACTGTAGTTATGCTAACATAACTCTGTAGTGTAGAGGCAGGCTATGCCAACAGAAAAGGGTTTTCCATTGGTGTAGGAACACTATGGCCCTGAATGACAGTAGCCGCATTGACAGAAACATTCTTCGATCAACATAGCTACATCTTAGGTCAGGATATCTATTTTGGTCAACATCCCTGAACTACGTAGCTATGTTGACATAACTTTTAAGAGTAGACCAAGCATGAGCCAAAACTGATATTCTATCAATCAGGCGTTTCCTTTTTTTTTTTTCTTGGTGAGAGGGTAAATCTGTTCACACTTTTCTTACAGAGTTCTCTTTGTAATATTGATAAAACTGTAACAATGGTGAAACAGCCCTTATTGGGTGGGGAGGGGAAGCAGGGGAGTTTCTATGGTTGCTGCAACATTCTGTTTGTGTAACAATTTAGGTTTTTCTCTGTCGGTATCCTTGAATGTTACTTAATAGAGTTTGTATTTTCTTTTTCAGCAAACGGTAAGAGTGGTAGTAAACTACAAGAAAACACAGAAGACTGTAGTGAGAGTGAGTCCACATGAACCTCTTCATGAATTCATACCGATTATCTGTAGCAAATGTGAGTTTGATCCTTTGCACACTGTATTGCTGAAGAACTACCAGTGTCAGGAGCCCCTTGATGTAACAAAATCTCTTAATGATGTTGGACTAAGGGAATTATATGCAATGGATGTCAGTAAAGGTAAGATATTTGTATATATAGTTTCTTAACAAAGGTATGTACACAGGAAATGTTATTTAAAAAAATATTGTACATCTATGATTTCATGTGTTCTAGAGAAATGAATTTCCTTCTAGATACTTCGTAATGTTCTTCATTCATTCTGCTATAGAACCAAACCCACCTAACAGCCACCTAAAACTTAATTTTCATAAACTTCTGGAAGAGAACTTCTATATAAAATTCCTCAGTATAAACAAAAAGAAAAGGAGTACTTGTGGCACCTTAGAGACTAACAATTTTATTTGCGCATAAGCTTTCATGAGCTACAGCTCAAATAAATTTGTTTAGTCTCTAAGGTGCCACAAATACTCCTTTTCTTTTTGTGGATACAGACTAACATGGCTGCTACTCTGAAACCTGTCAGTATAAACAGTTATTGTTTTGGAGAAGAGGGCTAAAATGACTAAGCAAAAGTGTGTACAATATATTATTATTTTAAAAACACTGTGTCAGTTTTAGCCCCATTCAAGCCCCAAAGAAAATTCAGTGTCTTGTCTCACACAGTCCTGATAGTGCTCTCTTTGCTGAACGCTCACCAGGCTGCACACTAGACCCAGATCTCCTAATCTTCCCTTGATCTAAGTCGGCTGTGGCCCTATCTTTTGCTTTGGTCTCTCTGGATATGTCTACACTGCAATAAAAACTCACGGCATCAAGTCTCAGAGTGTGGGTCAATAAATTGCAGTGCAGAAGTTCGGGCTTGGGCTGGAGCCCAGGCTTTTAGACCTCCTTAGGGGGTTTCAGAGCGTGGGCTCCAGCCCGAGCTCGAATGTCTACACTGCAATTTTTAGCCCCACAGCCTAAGTCCTGCGAGCCTTTGTCAGCTCCCTTGGGCCACCCATGGGCATGCTATGAGTCTTTACAGCGGTGTAGGTGAAACCCCTGGCACACTTCCAAGGCATAGTTTCTGTTTGTTACCCTTTCACAGAAATGGGACCTCCTGGATCAATACTTGACCCCTCAGGCTCTCCTGTAGCTTAAGTATACCCTCTCTTGGAACTCCAGCCATGTGGGAGCTATGGGTTTACAGTTCACTCAGAAATGCTTTGCTAATTTTTCTAATCATCATTACTCTTTACTTTAGTTAACACAAGAAATATAGAGATCTAGACAAAAATAGTAAACACACCTGCCCAGTCACTTCACTGCCTTACAGTTTCCTCTGGAGTGTTCTTTGGACATAGCCCAGAGTCATCCTGGACTCCTCCTCTCCTCCTGCCCTTTTACACATGACTTCTCTCAATCATAGAGTCTATCTTCCACCCTGTTCGTCAGCTGGCTTTTCTCTTCCTCAGTTGGTCCCACAGTTAAACAGAACCCCCCTGCTATGAAAGCATATCCTTCTATTCCTGTCTCCTGCCCAAAGCTTCCTCTCTATTGCTCTATGTGTTTCTTTATATGTCTCACCAGCAACACCTGGTTCCTTTTTTCTGCTGCTGGGGAAATTCCACTCTCCAAATCCCAGTCCTCTGCAGAGAAGTTGGAGCAAAGTCACTTACCCCAGCCTTCAACTATTCTATTCTATGTGGGCCAGGTCTGTTCACTAATTAATAGCCTTTAATGACAGTCTCTTTCAAAGACCAGATCTGTAAGCCCCGTTCCAGAATTTCAGTCCAACATGAATGTCAAAAGATAGCAGAGAAGAAAAACAGCCCTACATTCAAAATGGAGTTTTCAGTCTCACATGGACAAACATAGAGGGTGCCCAATATCAAACAGAATTAAGTTGTACATAGAGAGATTCCCATAATTGTCACATCTTGCTATATGGGAAAGGGCAAAATCAGCAAGGAAGTAATTATTTCTTTGTTTATAATCCATCAGGGTCAGATGACCAGCTACCTAACAGCATATTAATTTAACAAAATGTATGAATTTATATGGTACTTATTAGTGTAGGATGTGAGCACTTCACAGGGGTAGGGGGTGGCTTAGTTCATTAATGGCTTGTGAATCAAGAAGTATTATCTCCACTTCAATGATGGTCAAATTGAGACAGAAGGCAGGGAAGTGATTTGCCTTTGCTCACACACATCTAACTTCCAATCCCATGCCTTACCCAGAAGTCCATCTTTTACAAAGGACTCCTTAATTTTTTTTGTAGTCTGTTACAAAGACTTTCTCAGAGAGATTTCACGTTAACATGTTCTGTGAGCATTGGCTCTTGTGATGTAGCTAGGCTTCCCTGGACTAGTGCTATGTACCTTCTTTCTATAGTCATTATCCCTGCATTTGACATAATGCAGATTTTCCTCTCTGCCATAGAATCATCACTTGGTATGTTTTATTTCAAAGACATTTATCTCTGTTTGCTTCCCAGATACACCAGTCAGCAGTATCTGAAATAACAGCTTTTATTTAGAGTTGGTTGTGAATCTTTAATCAGAATTATTTTTCCAGTGGAAAAATTAAAATGAAATATTTTATTTTGGGATAATTTAACCCAATTAATAATCTTCAATTTTCTGAACTAACCCACAACGTTTAGTTTTGAATCAGTTCAGCAAAAGATTAAAACTGCATTTCCTGATGCCTCATTGCCATATGGAAGTTGCAGTTCCAGCCCCCATTCTCCCCTGTGGCTCTCTGGAGGATGCATCTCCCATAAGAGATTTCCTTCTGACTGAGTTGTGGCTTACATCATGGGACTCACGTGAGTGTGTGTATTATGAGAGATGCAGGAGGGAAAGTAACTTAAAGGACTTACCAGTACACCGGAGTCCTGAGCAGGGAGCGGTGCCTCAACCGGAAGGGGCGTGGCCTTTAAAATCCCTGGGTCCTTTAAAACGAGATTTAAAGGGCCTGGGGCTCCGGCTGTGGTAGTGGCGGGTGGGAGCCCCAGGCTCTTTAAATCGCTGCCGGTGCTACCAGCTGTGGAGGTGGTTGGGAGCCCCGGGACTCTGGTGGAGATTTAAGGGGCCTGGGGCTCCACTGCGGTAGTGGTGGCCGGGAGCACCTGGCCCTTTAAATCACCACCGCAGCCCCAGGCTGCTGCCCCTAAGCCGGGGCTCCAGCAGCGGGGCTCGGGTGGTGATTTAAAGGGTCCGGGGCTCCGGCCACCGCTGCCACAGCGGAGCCCTGAACCCTTTAAATTGCCACCGGAGCCCCCAGCCGCTGCAGTACCTGGGGCTCCAGTGGCAATTAAAAGGGCCTGGGGCTCCCCGCAGCAGCCGGAGCCATGGGCCCTTTAAATCGCCGCTCAAGCCCCGGGGCTCCCGGCCACCTCCGCTACCTGAGGGCTCCGGTAGCGGGGCTCTAGTGGCAATTTAAAGGGCTTGGGGCTCTGGCCCCTTCCGCGCGTCCCAGACCCTTTAAATCGCTGGCCTGGGAAAGCCGGTACGGTTGCTGGTGTACGGTTCTTGCTGGTACCCTGGACCGGCTTACTTTCACCTCTCGGGAGATGTAGTCCAACAAAGGAGCCTTGTCTATAAAAGGGAATGGGGCCCAGAACGACAACTCCCACTAGGGCTATGTGCCTTGGAGAAATGTTTTAATGTTGAAATAAGTCAAAACAAAATTATTTGAGTTACTTTAACAAACAAAAATACTACGTTTTAATCTTTGGAATGTTTGAATGTTTCATGTCAATCAAAAATGTAATAACAAAATGTTTCATCATTTACGAATTGAAATTGTCCACAGAATTTCATGGTGTGAAAAAATTTTAAATTTAATTTTTCATCCCATTTTGGGACAAAAGCAAATGTTGACATTTCGAAATTTCCGTTGGGATAGAAATCCGATATTTTGCTCAGCTCTACTTTTTATTATACTGCGATTTGTAAGCAAAAGTTTGTTTTAGGACAGAAATACAATAAAAATAACCAGTTTATCTACAGGTTAACTGTTCCTATTTTTTTTCCCCCCCCTTCGAAAACAAAAACACACATAGATCAGAAATCACAAAGACCCATCTCCAAATTTAAAGAGTTTTTATTCTGTATTGTATGCTTCCTGACCTTCCCAAGCAAAAGATATGAGGTCCTTTGTGGAATATCTTATTTTTTTTCATTTGAGTCACAGACTCAGTTTGGGAATGATGTCTTACAGTGAAGACTCTCTTTGATCAAGAAAGGTATTGATTGAAGGAAACAACCTATTTTCTACCAATTTACTACTTTGGACAAAAAAATAAAATTAGTCTGGAGTTCTTTCCCTGACTCTATTCCTAACTTTTTTTTATTTTGAGAATGCATGTGCTAAAAGTCAATAATTTGGGGCAGATCAAATGACTAAATTAAAAATCTATGTTATTTGAACTTGAAAACTGTTTCCCAGACTCCAGCTTTCTGTTTAACGGACAATTTAGTTATAGTCAGAATTAAGAAAGAAAAAATACCATAAATATTATTTATTTTTGTAACTTCCTATTTAACACCTATTCCCCTAGTTAGGGATGACCAGTTGCTTTATTTAAGTTTGTTCTGGGGCTATAATGTTATTAAAATCAGCATCCTTTCAGCAATTGTCTGAAGCCAACACCTATGGTGAACTTTTCTCCAAAATGAATTCCCTTCCCTTCTCTTCCCTTCCCTTCCCTTTCAATTAGAAACAATCCAGGAAGGTGGGTGGATTGATTTTTATTAGAGGATTGTTATGATTTGCTACTGATGGGAAATATTAACAAATGTGCTTGTTTTAATATGATCTGCTCTGTCTAGAACACAATCTGCACATGAACAGATGGTGGCATCTCTGGTCTTTGATATAAATTTTTGTGCATTTCACTGTCATATTAGTTCAAATTCTGAGGTGGTGGTTAGTTTTAGATATAATTCTAAGATATTTACTCTTCTACATAGGGAAGACTGTTCTTATGTTCTGCTATCTTTTCTTGTTTTTGGAAACTCAGATGAGGGTGTTCAGATGTAATTGACAGCTTTCCCTCAACCCACAATTAAGTTCAGTATCTAATAAATAGTATCATCATAACTAATTTACCATTTTTCTTTCTCTAGCCACTCCAGCTGCTGACTTCAATTTATCATCGTTACGAGGTAAGTTTTACTGAGCTAGATACTGAAATAGGAGCACATATATAAACTGTAGCTGATAGAGTTGTCACGCAGACATTGCCATTTATAGACTGCAAGGTAGACAGGTACCTTCATGTTCTATAATATGTGTCAGATTTGCATAAATTATTATTACAAAAGTTGATACACTGCCTATCGTACAGCGTTTCAATAAATTTTAATTTAGGGTAGTTCTTTGATCATCACAAAAGAATGTTCTTCAGAAGCCCCTTGAACACTGATTGAAAAATTTTTACTAAAAGGTTGATCCTGCTGCTGTTACTAATGTTGAAGACTGTTTTACAATGTTAGGTATCCTGTTGATTTCAACAGGACTGCTTGGCTGAATCAGATGGTAAATAAACATAATGGTAGCCTTTCTTTATGCAAAGTCTTCCCATGAATAAGAGTGTGTCTACACATGAAAGTTAATCCGTAACAAGGTAGTGTGTGAATTCAACTATTCCTGATTTAGCTTCATGTGTGGAACACTCTTAATTCAGAATAAGGTCTGGTCTACCCGTATAACTACGTCGCTCAGGGATGTGAGAAATCCATACCCCTGAGCCACGTAGTTGTGCCAACCTTACCGCCCCTCCCCCCGTGTAGAGCTTCTCCCACATAGCTGTGCCTCTTGAGGAGGTGGATTAACTATGCTGACAAGTGAGCGCTCTTCTGTCGGCATAGAGCATCTTCATTCAAGCGCTAGAGCAACGCAGATGCATTGGTGTTGCTGTGCTGATGCAGCATTTTAAGTGTAGAGTTGCCCTGAGGCACTCTTATTCTGGAATATTTTAAGCACAGTGCTTACTACCATACTGGCTGCCCTGAGACCACTTGCCCCATCTTTGTGATGACGAGTACCTTATGTCCCATAAGTGTTTTGTTTTGTTTTGTTTTTTATAGGCAACTCTGTAACAGGATAATACTGGCTTTGGAAGGTTCATTTTCTTAGTCTTAAACAACCTTAAACGTTACCCTGAGTACACAATAAGATTGTGAGGCTTGCTTGAGATTTTCATTGCTACTTCCATCTGAACACAGGTTTTATTTAGCAATTAATAACAATGAACACTTATCTACAAACTCTTCGCATTGTAACTAAAACTGTAAAAAATAAATTTGCTAATTTCCTGTCTCTGTCCTGCAAAATATATACACTCATACCATATATATATGATTCTTTACCTGTTTTTTGAATGAGATATTTGAAAAAAATCTTTTTTTTCTGGAAATAAAATTTACTTAGTGGAGTGAAGTCAAGAAGTACTGAAATTTTTTACAGTGGTGTTTAGAAGTTAGTAGATGGGTCATACATACATACAAGTTTTGCATTTAATTTTCCTGTATTGTTTTTATTTTTGAAAAACAATAATAAAAGGAAAAGAATTGTGAACTATTTGTGTTGTGGACCTCAAAAGCTGTTAGCTACACAAATATGCCAAGGAGTCTAACAGTAGAACTTGTGACTTCTTTTAACCAGTCAATATGTACTGAGTTTAAAGAGATAAAGTAGGTGAGGTAATTTCTTCTATTGGACCAACTTCTGGGGGTGAAAGAGGCAATCTTCCTCAGGTCTGGAGAAAGTAACCAGAGTGTCACATCTAAATACAGATTAAGTTTAAGGGGTTCCCACATGATGTAAGAGACCACTTGAAATGAAGTGGGCACTTAACACTTCTGGAGTCGGAGGACAAAGGAGGGTCAGCAGGCATCTGGTGTGTAATGCACCATAAAACCAGTGTCTCTGTTAAGTCTTTGTTTTTTAGTGTCCCGCAGAGTTCTGAATTTAAGTTCACAGGCTCATCTTTTAAAGATGTTGTGCAGGTTTCCTGTGAGGATGGGGACTGAAAGGTCAGATATGGAGTGATTGGTCCAAGTGTCCAGTAGTTCAGAACTTGGAGAGGACACATTTGGGGAGACTTGGGACTGGAAGGGTTGTAGGTATTACCTTCAAGGAGTAACTAGGCTGGTGGAAGCCAGGATGAGACGTTGTGCTGTGGGCAGACTAATGGTGTCAGGGATCTGAGCCATAGCAGCACTTGATCAACACTCCCAAGGTCACAGGGCAGGAAGTGACAGAATCCCTTACTCGTCTGGGTGATCCCCCAAAACATCAGTGGTGTTGTAGGTACAGGAGATTCACTCCAATATGAGCGAACTGAGGTTCACACTCCAAAGTCTTGCTAAACTGACCCATTTAAAAATAGGGGAGCGAAGTACTTATTTTCAAACCAAGCAAAGGCACTAGCCCTTGTTGAGTACTATAGCCATGACAACTTTTGAGAAAACTTTAGACATTTTGCTGTAGCCATATCTGAAAATTACACATAGTGTGTGCCACAGTTCAAGGCAACTGCACGTGTATTCCCCCTTTGTCTTTCAGCAAGGGCACCCACTCTAGGCTGCAGGCTCCTCAGCTGTCATCTCTCTTGGGCAGAGACTTGCATTTCTCTCCCTTTTGATCAGGATATTTCCAGGCTGAACAGTTCCCTGCCAACACTTTGTTATTCCCCAAAAGACAGACTGCCTAAGCAGGCCTGCTTTGCTTCTCTCCTCAGAGATGACAAACAGTGTAACTGCCAAGAGTTATAAGCTACTAAACAGCTCTTTCTAAGCAAGCACTTTTAATTTATTCTTAAATTAAAAGGCATTACTGGTCAAACATATTAAAAACAATAGAAGAGCCTACCTGCATTCTAATAAGCTTACCAGAGATCACCCCTACCTCCGATCTTGGGCTCTCATTGGTGATTAGTCCTTCAAACTCCACACAGGGGGTTTTCTCTGGCAGTCACCAGTTCATAACAACTTTTGCTTAGAACTAGCCCCCTCATGACTCTGGGAGCCACTATTTTATCCTGTCTTCATCTTTGAAGCCACCATAAATAGGTAAGCCAAACAAAGGCTCCCACTCAGGGTAAGGCTTCAAAAGGCTGAGTTCTTGCACAATTGGAGGGGGTTCATTTGCATACCCCCCTAGAAATTTCCTGGGGAAACTCCCTTAATTTTTAAAGGTTCATTCTCGTTGTCTTAGCCCATTGTTTAAAATATTCCTTCGAAGCTCACAAGGGGTTAGGTCTCCTAGACAAGTTACATATAATTCCGCAGTAATACACACAATCACAATTTTAATACAATGAGCTCTTAAAATACTTAATTGAGTAAGGTTTGTCCAGGATATGGTTAAATGGATCCGTGTGGTTGAACTGTTTTTAATGGCAATAGTTGATTTCTTGTCTTTCCTTGGAAATAGTTGAGATCTTGCGTAAACTCTAATACAATAATAATAATTAACTTCCTCACCATCAGGCAGGTGACGCTTGTTTTGCGAAAGTGACATGAATGTGGACCTTATCGTAATTTTCGACGATAAACAAGGGAATTCAAACCGTTTATGGTGGTTAGCACTACTTGGTCGATGTCTTTGTATTTCAAACCTAGCCTCAAGTTGTCAACCTTGCCTTGTAGTTCTGAGGAAAACTGCATACATAATGTACCTATTGGGTTTTTAACCAGAGACCTTATTGTCTTGTAATCTGTTTATATAGTCCTCTATCCAATTTTAATGTGGATTTCTGAGTGCATGATTTAGCACACCATGTGTTCATGAGATTTTACTCTCCTAGGATGTGTGCACTGCACATATTACATCTGTGGTTCACAAACGGTGCCTTTATTAGTCGTCTGCAGAATGAAGAAGCTATGAATTAAGGGGGGCTGGATAGTTAAAAGGGTACATGATCTGTGGGGACGATCTTTCTCCAAAACAAAAGGCAATACAGAATGAAAGAGCTCCTTGCACCCTCCACATGCCCTATGCACTCAGGGTGGTTGATCATCAATTAGCCTGTAGTCATCCCATCTGTATGTGGCATTGATTGTCAATATTTGTGCATTTAAAACATTTAGTTTTCCTACAGGACATAAGACTCTTTAGATTGTAATAAATTGCTTTCTAGAATCCTAATTCTGAGTGAAAATCACTGCTTCTAGGTTTAGCAAGAATTTGGTGGCTTTTTCCCAGTGGCTCAGACCTAGTTTATGATATGATCTTCATACTGAGATGTCGGAGCGTTACCATTGTGCCACATCTTCATTTAGGGGTGTGTGTGTGTGTGTGTGTATATATATATATATATGAGTTTGTGTTTAATTGAAAATGGTATATTCATTTAGAAGCACTGCATGCATAGCAAGTTTTCTTCTTCTTTGTTCAGGAACCTGAATAAAGTACACAGGAACTTGGCAGTGTACATGGAAGTCTAAAATTTTAATTGACCGCAATTAAATTCTTCTCTAACATGATTGATCGTATTTAGTGCAGTGCTAATGAGGAGCACTCTTTACATCCCTGGCAAGTAAAATTCATGCTAATTTATGATTGCTTAAGGAGAAAAATTAAGGCAAAAAGCATGGTAATGTCAGGAAGCTTTTTTCAAATTGTACTTTCAAAAGACTACTCATACAGAATATTTTTTCTCTACTACCCACTCTGCTACCAGCCTGCTGGAAGGATATACCAAACATACCATAAACAATCTATGCAATAAATGTCTAGAATTATTATTTTCTGTTTTAGGCTCCTGCCAAATTTCTCAAAACCCAGGTACTTTGAAGGAGAAAGAAAATAAAGGATTTTTCAGCTTTTTTCAGCGAAGTAAGAAGAAACGAGAACAAGTAAGATGGCATTTTCTAAGCAAAATATGTCTAAATATATTCTCAGAACAGTCAGGTTTGCTGGTTGAAATACTTTCAGAATGTTTGATTATCTCTTCCCCTCCTTTTAAGACTGCCAGTGCCCCAGCAACTCCACTGATGAGCAAACCCAGGCCAACTTTTATCAACAGATCTAACACGATTTCCAAGCAGTACGACTCTAATACATTGCCATCTGAAATGCCAAAGAAGCGAAGAGCACCCTTGCCTCCAATGCCTGCCTCTCAAAGTGTCCCACAGGATCTTGCACATGCCCAAGTGAAATACACATCGTCTTGTGTCGTGAAATCTAGTAGTGTTGATGAAAATGAACAGGTGAGCTATTGTTAAACTTTTTCTTCTCCATCTCCCCACCCCATTAAGTTTCACTGATTAAGAGTATCTGAGGCAGTGGTATTTCTGGTGAGGCTTGGAACAAAAATAGTTACACAATGTAAGTAAAAAGTCCTATTTTCTGAGCATATAGTAGTGAAACAAGAAATATTTCACACTGTATCAATTGAGGGATAGATTTTAAATATTTTTGTATGGTTCCAAAATATTGGCTGTATTATAAAAAACAGAATAAAATAAACCATTGTTCTATTAATACACTTTTATATGAGTAAGTTTAGAAGTCAAATTTATTTATTTATTTTAGAAAGAAGAAAGTATTTGTTGCTATCTGGCTTTTATCCGATGGTTAAGATTTATATAATCATGACAAAGGCTCTGATCCTCCAAAGACATGTAGATTGCTTAACTTTAAAGTCACTGGTGCTGCACATATGCTTAAATGAAACCACTATTTTGTAACAAGGATGTTTCATTTTAAACAGTATGAGTGATAAATAGGAGTTCCAGCCTCAACTTGTTCTGTTGAGTTAATAGCTTATATGTTTGCATACATTATGGTTTACATTAATATGTCCATTAACTACACAGGGGATTGGGATTTTATGTCATTTCTAAAATTGACTCACTTAGTCCTTTGTAGTAAAATGCAGTTTAATGTGGTGTTGAAGAAAATAGTCTTCTAAACAGTCTTCCAATCTAAATTATTAGAAACAAATGGGACTCTTGGGAACTACATTTAACTTACAGGAAGCACAAGGATGTTAAACTAAAGTTTTATCTTAATAAAATTGTCTGCTTGTATAGTAATGCATTTGAATGAAGTTATGAGAGAGGCTATCTGAGTGTATTACTGAACTCATTCCAACAAATTTTGAGAGAAAATTAATGCATTGGGTAATATCTTGGTAAAGCACAGATTGTCAGTTGTGAAGTCCAATTAAAGATCAAGGCTAAAAGTGTCAGTGTAAATTGAAACACTTCATATTTGTATTTTGCACTGTGCTTTGAATCTGGAATAAAAGGCATTCTTTTATAAAAAAATTAGACTACTGGCATGCCAGAAGGATGAAATGAATTGCTGAATGCTAGTCCCATAAACAAAAATTCTCAAATGAACCATTAGTCTAATTATCCTGTACGCAATACTTTTCATTTCCAGTCAACACGAAAAAACCACAAGAGAGCGCTGTTTAACAGAAGTTCTAAATGTTGTCTTATATTTGGCTGAGAAGCTTTGTCATTTGAAGAGGAGAAAAATATTTTTCTCTTTACCGGTGTAAAATTAAATAACAGTCTGTCTTGATCTTTTCTTGCTTCTTCATTGAAAGTAACAGTGAAGAAAAGACTTTTTTAAAAAAAAATCTACTGAGGAGAGTAGGCATTACTCCACTGTCTAATCAAATTTGCAAGCAGTGCTGGTTTACAACAAAACATTTTCTTAGCCACTGGGGAGGAGTTCAAGGAGAAGAATTTCTGTGACATGTAAGAAAGTGGTTCCTTTAAAATCAGTACATCCTGGGGCATTGATGGTGACTATTATAATTCGTTATTTGTATTAGCACCTGCAGGACATAAAATTAAGAGTTGACCCCATTGAACTGGGCCCTTTACAAACATATAATAAGAAACTCTCCTTGCCCAAAAGAGTTTGCAGTCTGAACAGAAAAGACAAACAAAGGGTGGTACATGGAAGTAAAGTAACCCACAGTGATTGTACAACTTCAGTATTTCCCAGTTTTCTTCGCTATGTCAAGTGCATTAATGCTTGATTAATCCTAATGGGCCAAATTCTACCAGTTTACTCCTGTGGAAATCCTGGGTAACTCCACTGAAGTCATAGTTCATCTTTTGAAGGCTGTTCCCTGTGTGTATTCCATTGTGGGTATTCATGTGTTCCATGCACCTGAGACCATAAGAATCTTTGAAGCAGTGTTCGTTGGTCCATATTTGTGCCCTTGCTCTCCTCATGCTCTGTACTGAAGATATAAGGGACAGTACAGATTGACTGTCTCTCCAGCTCCTGGAACCTCCGTGCCAGAGCTGAGCCTTTTGTCCTTAACCTGTAAATATTTCAAAAGTTTTATAAAGTTTTAACTGTATATAGTGTCCATACAGTTTATTCACTGTAGTGGTTAATTAGTTCCCCCAGGGAGCCTCCTTGGCCCCCAGTACAGGATTTAGATTATGCCCAGGTTAATGAGATTTAAAAGCTGCATCTCCTGTATCTGCTGTTTTTTTCCAGCTATGATGGCTAACGCTGCCGTTATTGCCTCAGAGAAGCTCATATTTCTGTTAGGTGCAGTATTTGCCATTCCTTTCCTACCCAAACCTGACAGATGTGAGAACTCCATCTTAGGAAACGCCTCATGGAGTGTGCAGCCCAAGTGAGAGCTGGGACAGGGCACTCCTCTGTATGTTGAGATGTGCGCCTCTTAGCACCATGATGTTTGATTCAGGAGTGGGATGGAGCAGAACTAAAGACCTTTCACTGGGAACTTTTTATGAGAACAGGAGACAGGCTCTCCTAAACATAAAAGCAGATGTCCCTCAATATGCTTATCTGTGTCTTTTCCCAAAGCCTTATGACACCAATGAGGAGAAGAGGCTTCATTCCCTCTACCTGAGACGTGCATTAGCATTTTACCTGCGAAGAACAAAGCCAATCAGAAAGTAACCTAGATTGTTCATTACTACAGTGGAATGAGTGAGTGGACAAGCCATCAGAGGATATCTAAGTAGATCTCTTCCTCTATACCACTTTATCAGTTGGAGCATCTCCCTCACCTGCATGTAGCGAGATCTTATTCTAATAGAACGACAGCAGTTTCAGTAGTTTTGGTTCAAGAGTAGCTCTTCTTGACGTTTGCAAAGCAGCAACATGGAGTTCTATCCATATGTTCATGAGACACTACACCTTAGTTCAAGCCTCCACAGATGATGCATCCTTTGGGGCAGTAATCCTTCAAACCTCTATACTGCCTGCCTCCTTGGAGCCTCTCCTCTTGATTAGTGCTTGTCAGTCGCTCACAGTGGAATACACTCAGGGACCAGCATTCGAAGAAGAAAGTAAAGTTACTTACCTTATAGTAACTGGAGTTCTTCTAGATGTGTGGTCCCTATATGTATTCTGCTACCAGTCCTCCTTCCCCTCTGCTCACGATCATAATTGGATTCATGAGAGAGAAGGAACTGGAGTGGCGGTTGCTCTGCACTGCCATTTATACCCTAGTTACAGAACATGAGGAGAGCAAGGGCGCTGGCACAGACCAACAGACATTGCATGTAGGTTTCTTCTGGTCTCAGGTGCATGGAGCACATGTGTACCCACAGTGGACTATAGATAGGCTCCACATCTCGAAGAACTCCAGTTAAGAAATTTAAGAAATTTCCCTTAAAACCAGATTTACATGGGTGGAAATGAGAGCAGAATTTGTTCCAGAATGCTCTTCTATTTGGCCTCGTTTCCATGCATACTAATCATATTTCACAAAATACAGCTGCCTGCTAGGCTGATTTGCCTAGAAGGCCCTATCCATCCTCAGTATCACATCCCATTATATAATTTCTTAAAGCTGCGTATAGAATCATAGTAATTTAGGGTTAGAAGGGACCTCAAGAGGTTATCTAATTTACCTCCTTGTGTTGAGGTAGGACTGTGTATGTCTAGACCATTCCTGACAGATGTTCGTCTAACATGTTCTTTAAAATCTCCACTGACGTAGGTTCTGCAACCTAGTGAGAGAGTTTTTGCTAATATCTAGCCTAAATTTTCCTTGCGGTGGATTAAGCCTGTTACTTTTTGTCTTCTCCTTGATAGATGTGGAAAGCAATTGATTAGTGTCCTCTTTGTAACTGACATCTAGTGGGGGTATGCCATGTAAGACTAACCCATCTTGTTCTCAGGGCAACCTGAGAACCTTGTGCTGTTTCATGTGAATAGCTAAGTGGCACTGTCCTAATATGTCAATAATCACCATCTTGTTAGGATGTCCTTTAATAGCAGTCAACAGTGTCACACACAACAGTGTCACATGCATACTGAAGCAAACTTTGCCCCATATTTTCCCCTAAAGATATTCACTAAGCCTCTTTTTAAACAACATTTATCAAATAAAAAAATTACATGTGTATAGTACCATGACAAACTTATTTGAAGTTGGCATTAAATCCTATTTTTTGAACAAATATCATCTTATTTTAAGACACAATCGTTATTCGGTGGTAGCTTGATAAATGAAAGGTATCTTACTCCATGGGTATTGACAAGGTCAAGAGTTCTGCTGTCAATGGGTTCTTGAATTATGGAGGGATGATCAGTAAAAGAGAGATTTGTGAGCCTGTTTATTCCAGTGCTGCTCCTTCATATTCCACTTTATGAAGTGGGCTGCTTAATTGAAGCACAAACAAAAGTCCTTTGAAGATGACCCCCAGGTCTGGCTCAAGTGTAGATTCTGCTACCATAAAATGAATGTCATTGCTGGATTTTATTATGCTGTCAAATAGACAAGTGACAGTGATCAAAATTGCTACAGGAATGGGCATCTGTGACCAGGGATGAAACATATTTCTTTATCACTGGGATCCTGAAAGTAATCACTCTGAGATGTGGAACTACAAGGTTACTTCAGTATCAGGCTAATAGCTGTTACAATGGCAGGCAAAATTATGGCAACTATCTTTTGAGATGCTGAACTAGTGATAAGAAGACTGAATAGTTTTTTTTAAAATGCATACAGGACTGCCATAGCAACATAATGTATAAACTAAAAAGTTCTCCTCAGATGCCCTATACCTTTGCGTATTGTGATGCTTTCATATTGTGTGCACACTGGCAAAGAGAGCTAAATCCCTATTTTTGTTAGAATATTTGTTAAAATTTTGTTGTTATACTTCCATATTTACACCATATTACAACATATTTAGGAACATTCCCCATCAGAGTTTTCTGAAATGGGCTTTTTTTAAAAGCGTGAGAGATTCCAGGTTACTCTCTTCATAACATTTATGACAACCAATTTTGTGTACCGTCACTGTTGTGATACATTTTTGAATATCCAGCACTCTACAAGATATAATTCCCCTTACTTCCTGCTCCACCATTTTCTGATTATTTTCCCCCCTTGGGAATAGTTTAAAAGTATTGCTCAGAGAAACTATTACAAACTTAACAAGTTATTTGAATTTTGGTTAATAGTGGATGAGGATTGTTGTGTTATCTCAGGTATAAATTATAAATATCACTTTTGGAGTACAATAATCAGACTTTTCTTGAGTTTCTCTGAATACACTTGTTCATTTTTCCCCCCCTTAGGGTCAGTTGAGACTAGGAATAGTGAGAACAGGTTCTCTGCAGCTCAGTGGCACATCATCTGTTAACTCCTCTTTGAGAAGGACTAAGCGCAAAGCGCCCTCCCCACCCTCTAGAATACCACAAGACCAAAGTGACAACAGTAAAAGAACTGGTAATATTTTTACTTTTTAACTAGGCAGAAATGGAAAGTTGTTAATACTGTACCTAGGCTAAATATTAATGTTAAAGAAATGTCACCCTATTGATTGAACTTTAAGTAAAACTATGCATACATGTCAAACACTTTTTATTTAGGAATATGTTTAGGTAAAAAGACAGATGAAAACAGTACAATGTTAGAGGAAAATGTCCTGGATCAAACTTCAGTTCTATTTCAAGGTCCGTAATATTGTAACAGTTGAAATGCACGGGGGTGTGTGTGTGTGTGTGTGTGTGTAGACCATGGAATTGACAGTACTGTAGGTATGGTTGTAACAAGCTTTAATCAGCAAGACGAAAGCACTTCATTCCTTAGAAACACACTAATCTGTAAGGTCAAAGTTAGAAATTCTGTTTCATATTTATATCGGTGTAAAAGAAATAAAAGATTGCTTTTAAAAAGAAAGATGTCTGTTAACATTTTCTTTTCTTTGTTTCAGCATCAGAGTTTGCAGAATCAAACCCTGTAGAAAATATTGTGGAAGAAAGAGATGCAGAAGTACTGTTTCCAACAGGTAGTTCTTCCCAGATATTATTAAAACATAGTCAAGAACAGTCATAATAAAAGCCTGGTAATAAAGAGAAATAGTAAAAATGTCATGCTGCAGATGTTTCAGGCCCATTATTTTATTTGTCTTAAACTATCATTTAAATTTGAGATTTCCCCTGGATACTTTTGGTTTTTTCCCCACACCAATCCTGTAAGTATTTATATGGCTTTCTAAAGTACAAAAGTTTTACTTTTGCATGATATAGTAACAAATACCTGATGTTTGTATTGGTTACTATGTGTTACATTTTAAAAAGAGATACCTACTGGGTATTCTAGAATATTTAGACATTAATGAAATAGTTTTTAAAAAAGAACACCACCGTCTGACCCAGATGCACACGACACAGTTGAGTCATGTCCATACATCGCTTCACTTCCCTTTCCCCGCCCAACCCCAAACATAACCAAGTATCATTCTTGCTTATATGACCATAACTACCACGTTGCCTATGTTTTTGTATCAGTGCATTCTAGGAAAACTGCTCTCTGTGTTTCAACAGGGGATAAAATGTCTTAAGGACACATACATGGAGTGTCATTAGCAGTATAAGAGGCTCTGCACTTTGAGATTTTCTACTGTACAGATAACTATAAGCAGGAGGATGAGCTAAACTGGTTATATGGGTCTGGTTAGGGAATTCCATTTAGACTGCAAAGCATTAGTGTGCCACACCAGTTATACAGAGACCCATGTGTTATCTTAGGCCTTTGGCAAGGGGGAAACTCAGTTTCCAACCTAGAAGAACCCATACTGTATTTGGATACAAACAATATTTAAAGCCAGCTGTGTCACGAACAAGTTACCAACTTGGATGAAAGTTGTGATGTGAGTAGTTCTGTGGATGAATGAAAAACCTGTAATTAATTGAATCACAAGTGCTCACTAGACTCTGTCCCTGTTTGTTTTGTGATCTGAGATCACACCCTGAGGAAATATGGTTGCAGACATGTACATAGGTCACATACCATTATATTGTGCCTACATGGTAAAGGGTAATAAGGAGAGCAGTAAAATTCTTAGCAAAAAACTTACTCAGGCAAATAAGATGTCTTGCAAATCATGGACCAGATCGTTTGGACACTGCCTCTAATTTTTAACTCAAATTGTGTGAGCAAGTAATTGCAGGTGAAGTTTAGGTAACTCAGACTTCTGAATAAATTATGTGTACACTAGATACGTTAGGTACTAAAAGTCTTGGTGGCCTAAGTTGTACCTAAGAGTTTTTTGGCATCTGAAAAATCATGGGTGCAGAAAAGGAGTCTGCCTTAAGGACATACTGAAAATTTAGCTTGAGGATAAGTGTATTTAAACAAGTATAAATTGTAGTTGTTAAAAAAAGAGAATTACAATTGGAGTATTACTGGAGGCTCAACTTCACAAATAATTTGCTAAAGTTCCTTTAAAAATAACTAATTTGCTTTGAAATTTGTTTAGCTACATTTTTGTTTGCTGTCATTCTAATTTTATTTTGTTTAATTTGCAGATTACATCAAGCTAATTAATCTTCTTATTCCTAAACTGCTTTTTAGGTGATAAAGTTGATGTAACCAGAGCCATAGTGCCATCATGTGCCTCTCATTGCTTAGATGCAGCCAATCATGAACAAAACACTGTCCAGCAACTGACAGATGAAAGTAACCTTTCTGGTAACACTGGCTGTCCTGATGCATCTGAAATGCCTTCTAAATGTAGGTTGTAATATCTTTCTGTAGGATATTTTGGATAGATAATTTACAGTATACCAATATACAACGCATGTGGTGTTGAAGTTTTCACTACTTCTAGAGCCACTGTAGGGAACAAAAATCAGTTGTAATTATACCATACCATAAACTTTTCTTTGTAGATAGCATGTATAAATATTTAATTTTCTCCCTGTTAAATTTGTTTCCAGTTACAGATGAGACAATTCAGTTCTAAAATGAAGAATTAAGTCGGGTGTCTCGGACTTATTTCTTTAGCTGTAATATGCTTCTATCTTAGGGGTTTTGATCTATGTAGGATTTTCTTCATTTCCCATCACTGTAGTATCTGAGTGCTGCATGGGTGAATTAGATCTGTCAGCTTTATAGACTAGTCTGTTCTTCGTTCTTCTTAGGTTCTAGGAAGCTCTGCTTGTGGTATATGTACTTTTGTAAAATATAAATATCTTTCAAGTGATGATGAAATTTTTTTAAAAAAAATTGCAGCATGCTAGCCTAATCTCTTCTAGCAGCTCATTCCACAGTCGAGCCTTGTTGAACAAGAATGCTTTCACTCTAGCTCTCGCACATTCTTTCTGGGTTTTATTAATCACACTGCCCTAGAGGAATCAGCAGTTTACACAGGTCTTGGATAGATGGGTCTTGTCCAGTGGTGCCACACAGTCTTGAATTGGCAGTAGAAGCAGATTGTGAGCTAATAGAGGATGTAGTGCAAAGAGCTGATGTGATCTAGATTGCCTGTTCCACTGATAAGGCTCCTGTATTCTGCACATGTTGGAGCCCTCTGCATTGTTTCCAGCTTCAACCCCAGATACAGTGAATTACAGTAATCTGTACTGGAGGTGATGAATGCATGAATTACTGTGGCCAAAACATTATAAATAAGGGTGGAACAAAATGTTATAGGAAAGTGAAGGTGGAAGAAGGTATTTGTTGATATTGTCACTTCCTAGAAATCTAGAGTTTAGTTTATGAGGGTCCCAAATCTTTGCATCACTTAGATAAATGGGAAAGCAAACACCTTTCATGGGAGTGGAAGGGCCTTCTAATTCCTCTGAGTGTTTTCCACTGTCAGTAATACCTTGCTGTTGACTGTCAAAAGCTGTAGAGAGGTATAAGAGTGGGCCTGATCCAAAGCCCACTGAAGGCAATGAGAAGACTCTCTAATTCACTTCAGTGGGCTTAGGAACAGGCCCAGTATGAGCACTGAGATATGGACTGTGCCCGCTGAGTGGGAAGCATCCATTGGTGCTTCTTTTGGTCCTTCTATGTCATGTTTTTGTTTTTAAGCCCCATTAAAATCCATCCAGATGTTGGAGAAGCTGCAAGATGGAGTTTTTTTGTCAATAATTTCTAAGTGGATGCCACTGTACTACAGAGGCAGCTCTGCTACAGTTCCATGTCCTGTGGCTCTCATGAGGGAAGCCCAGCTAGTCGCCCTGATATGGGGGGTAGGATTTGCTTCTAACAGGACACAGATTTCATCTATTCCTATTTTAGTGTTTGTCTGAAAATTATGTAGCACATTTTGGTAACTACATAAATTAATAATAATACTGTATTAGTGTAAATTTGAGAACAGTTTTAACAATTCCAGAAACTCAATACACCTCTACCCCAATATAACATGACCCGATATAACACGAATTCGTCTATAACGCGGTAAAGCAGTACTCTGGGGGGCGGGGCTGCGTGCTCCTGCTGATCAGCGTGTCTGGCTCCGACATGCTGCTTGTCTGGGACCGAGGGGTTGGATAAGAGGCAGAGGGTCTCGGGGGACGGTCAGGGACAGGGAGTAGGGGGGGTTGGATAGAGCGTGGGAGTCTCAGGGGGCCTGTCAGGGCGGAGTGTGGATGGGGTTGGGGCAGTCAGAGGACAGGGAGCAGGGTGGTTGGGTAGGGGGTTGGGTCCTGGGGGTGATTAGGGACGGGGAGGTCTCTGGAGGTGGCGATCGGGGACAAGGAGCGGGGGGGGGGGCTTAGATGGGGGTGGGGTCTTGGGAGGGGTGATTAGGGGTGGGGGGGTCTCTGGAGGGGGTAGTCAGGGGACAAGGAGCAGGGGGGGTTGGATGGGTTGGGGGTTCTGAGGGGTCAGTCAGGGGATGGGAAGTAACGATTAATAACGGAAATGCTCAAGGCCAAAGCAGGTTCGATACAACGCCATTTCACCTATAACGCAAAAAGATTTTTTGGGCTCCCAAGGATCGCGTTATATTGGGGTAGAGGTGTAGTTCCATCCATTTGGTGTAATGTTTCTGAAACACTAATACTTTGAGCGTTGTCCTTTTTCAGTTAAGGTTTTGACTCAATGTGTATTCTGAGTTGTATCATATAAAATGGCTGCTGCTTAAATTTATTTACTCATTCAATAAAGTAGCAGTGAATAATAGGTTTACCATATAATACCGGTCACAATGTAATGATCACTTGAAGGAATTTTTTTTTTTGTTCCTGAAAGTAAAAGAATGTGTTTGTGCTTCTGTTAGCTATTCATTACAGTGACACTGCACTGTATAGTTTAAAACATACTAGCATTTCCATTATAAACTGCTATTTTCAGAAGTTTATGTTCTCTATGAAAAGCCCACTCTGGACTGAAAAATGCTTTAAAGGATTACACCTACTAGAAGAGAAATGTAAAATAAAAATAATTAGAATGATTTTTGCGTTGTAAAACCACAAAAAGATGTATCTTCCTCTCCATAATGGTATTAGTTTTCATTCTGAACATTTTTCTAGCCTAATATGCATAGTTCCATTAGAGTCTTGTGGTTTAGGAAAGAAGAGTAAAATATCTGTACGCATGTTAATTAACAATTATTGTATGTTTGCTACTCGTGAAATTTAATTTAAAAAAATTGTAGGAATCTTATTGACATAACACTCAGTAAAGACTCCAAGGAACCCGAGGTCCATTAGGTCAGTAGCCAATGCACTGAAAAGAGTGATAGATTATAATTGGAGAATGATGAGAGTACGTAACTCTCAATCTCTGACGCTTTGGAGCATAATAGCTCGCTAAGAGATGTTAGACTATTATTGTATACCATTTAAATGGTACTCTTATTGACCCATTTGATTGGAATGTCTCCAAAGGAGATTTACTTTGTAAGGTCATTGATCTGTCAACTAAAAACTCTTCAGGTACCTTTTAGCCCAATAGGCTGCTAATAGCTTGAAAGGAACATTGTTTAAACATCATAGCCTAATGTTTGCTCTGGTGAATCACATATTAAATATCTTGTTGGTTTTCTGAGTCTCTTTGATGGAAAAAAAAGTATATTTTTTTTATGCCTAGTGCATGTATGTACGTACGTGTGTGTGTATAAACACACACACACACACACACTTTGTACATGTACACATACTTGTCCCAAGAGTAACACAGGTATAAATTGTAATAGACCATTGCTAGCACAGGCAGCAGAGTGGAGACACAGCTGTGCTGAGTACACACTGGTTTGAAACCGAGGGTTCGTACTCCGCATGACTCAGCCGTGCTTCTGCTTCCCATGCTCCCGTGCCTGTATTGCTCTTTATACTCTCACTAGCTCCCATCAAGCTGCTGCAGGTATGTGTACAGCAGAGGAATCCCACCACTAGCTGATAGTGTAGACATAGCGTGTGTACCGCATACACACAGTGCATAAACAGTTTCATTAAAAAGAAGAGAGGTGGCTTCAATTTTAGATCAAAATTAAACCTAGAAAACCAGGCATTTGGAACAAAGTCAGAAAACATGAACTGATCCTTCAGCCACCAGGAATGTATGGGTGTAACTGTGAAAACATGATGACACAGCTCTATTTATTATTTACTACTTTGACAGACCCAGACCAGTGGGGTACAGGAGTCTGGTAGAAGGCAAATATACTGGCCACTGGATGAATAGTTTCCTGTTCCCTGAGTGACCAGAGCAGGGGCTGCCCTAGAGCAATCAGGAACCTGTTAGAACCAGTTAAGACAGGCAAGCTAATCAAGACACGTGGAACCAATTAAGAACTTTCTAGAATCAATTATGGCAGGCAGGCTAATCAGGACACCTGGTTTAAAAAGGACCTCCCATCAGTTAGTAAGAAGCCACACAAGGAGCAGGGAGTGAGAAGGCATGCTGCGGGAGGACTGAAGAGTTCAAGTGTGATCAGGCTTCAGGAGGAAGATCCTGCAGTGAGGATAAAGAAAGGGGAAGGCCATGGGGAAGTAGTCTAGGGAGTTGTAGTTGTCATGCAGCTGATACAGGGAACATTGTAGACAGCTGCTATCCACAGGGCCCTGGGCTGCAACTCAGTGTAGAGGGCGGGCCTGGGTTCCCCCATCCCCCCAACTCCTTATCGGACACAGGAGGAGTTGACCTGGTCTGTGAGAAACACCTGAAGGGAAGGTCTAAATTGGAAAGGGATCTGGCCTGTTCCCGACCCACTAGGTTGGACACAGAGATTGCGGGGATTGTTCTCCATTTCCCCCATGCTGGCCAGTGATGAGGTTAGCTGAGTGGACGGCAGGTTTGAGCCACTAGTAAAAGTGGCCAAACTGAGGGCCGCTGGGAATCTCGGAGGCAAGCAAATCCGCCAATAAGCTCAGGACCCACCAAGGCAGAGGAGGAACTTTGTCACACATACGTACAGCTATTCTACTACTACGAAGATGACTCGGTGCTTGGATGAGATCAGCTCATGGATCCAAAAAAAAAAAAAATGTTGAAACTGAATCTGAGCAAAGATGGGTGTGTGTGTCATGCTGATGGGCAGAGCAAAGCACTTGAGTTTGCTTTCATGGTGTGGTCTCCTTTGTTTTAAAGTACACACCACAAACTGGGTCTGTTCAGTCTATAATTTAGGAGTGCTCTTGAATAGCGCTTTCTTGGAGGCTGGCCCAAAACTGTGGAACAAATTCCTACTAGAAATGAGGCCCATCACAAATCTTACCACCTTTTTTGCTCCATGTGCAAGAAGAACTTCTTTCACCTTGTTTAATATAAACACGTAGCAATGTTGTTTTTTTTAAAAAAGCCACCAACAAAAGAGATTCCCCACCAAAACAAAATGCTACGCTTCATACATCATTCTCTCTTTGGGGGGAGGAGAATCCACATGTGACAGAAGTTAAACAATGTGACTAACAAGCTACTGGAAAGCCCTCTGGTATTACAGAGATGAAGACAGTATAAAATCCTATAGAATAGAATAGCAAAATGTGCTTGTCTGGCCTTCATGATTAGTTTTTAACCACAATTTGAGTTAATTCTGCAGTGACCATTTTATGTGATTAACTGAAACCTTTAACACTACTCAAAATTTTGCTGCTTCCAATTTTGAGTTTATCCTTTCAGGCTATGATTTAAACTGCTGTTCTGGATTTGAACTTTTCTCGGTCTTTACACAATTCTGTAATAATACTAGCTAACATGCTGTCCAGCCTGTGTTTTTGTAAGTCTGCTAGTTGAGAAAGGGCAATTTGTGATTTCTCCCTAATCTTTAAGAAAGGCATGTGCCAGGATCCTTGTGATTCACTTTTTCCATCACTAGTTACTTCCCCCTTAGCTCCCAGCTGCTATTTTGTCACCATTCTTATAGCCTTCATTTATTTAGAGATTGTCTATAGTTGTACATTTTCCAAAATAGTTGGAATAGTTATTTCTGGAATAAATGTGTGTGCGCATGCACGGTAGGTGCACGTGGGGGACTTATACCAAAAATAACTATTCTGCAATAATTATTCCACAAGTGTTTTCCTAAATTTCCAAGGTATAGCCTAACATCTTTTGAATAACAAACAGTACGAGCAGCAACACAACTGGTAGGCTAATTGTAAAGTCTATTTACTAATGTTTTTAAAATACTAATTGACATCAAATTGTAAAAAGATTTGTGGTAGGAAGTCAATGGGCCATAGGGCATTTAGCACCTCTGGAAATTTAGGTGACTAATCTTGAATTTAGGAGTAGAACTGGGCAAAAACATTTGGGTGAAACTTTTTTTTCTTCTGAAATATCCAGATTCAGGTCAGCCAAGTTGTGTCATGAATTGCTTCAGCAAAAAGAAATTTTGGAAATGCCAGCTTAGATTCACATGGTGGCAGTGCTGGGTGCTCCCCTCACACCCAGCCATCTGCTGGTTAGGATACTCACTTTGGAGCAGGGAATTGAACTAAGGTCTCCCACATTCTAGGTGAGAGCCCTAAGCACAAGAATATTTGGGAATGGGTCCCTCCGTTTCTCCAGTTGAAACTGTTCCACTAGCTATGAAATACTACATATTTCAGGTCAGCAAGAGACAGTGCGAATAACTCTATATGGTGGTTAGGGCACTGGGCTTTTGGGTGTAAGGGGTACGCCATGGATTTGTGAACCTATGCCTTAATTTCCAAATTTCAATTTCCTTTATTAAAGTGCCCAAAATCAAAATGAAGGTTTTTGCTTGACCCGAAACGAAACAATTCTGACTTTTCGGTTTACTGCAAAATGTTTTTAAAAAAATCAGTTTGGAGTTGATCTGAAACAATTTCTGCCCTCTCCCATTTTTAATAACTGCCAGCAAATGGGAAATTAGTTATTTGCACAGCCTTATTTAGGAGCCTAACTTTAGGCACCCTAGCCTTGAAAATTTTATTATGTCTTATATGGTATTTGGTCAAAGTTGATAATTACACATTTTAGTTAAGTTACATTTTAATTGAAGTACTGTTACATTTTAAAATGCATTTCATGTAACATTACATATTTGTTGAATTCTGTTTGTAGTATATGCAGCCACCGTATATGCTAAATATCAGAGTACTCTTAAGCTACATTTTGACAAATTCAAGGTATTCCAGCTAAGTTTTGATAACTCTTCAGTGGGTCCCATGCCAATCAGTGGCAAATCACCCACTGATATGATTGGGACTAGGTTTGGGTCTTCTATCTGTTCTTAAATCCTCTGGGCATACTACTTTTGATCTAAAAAGTTGTATATTTTTAAAGCTATATATATATATATGTATATATTTAAAGCTGAATTTGAGAATAACAAATGGATTTATCAGAAAAAAATAAGAGATTTGATTAACATAGAATTGATATTTTTCTAGTACTATGTTTATTGCTAAGTACTGCAGATATTTAAAAAAATAATTCAATACTTATTTTAAACTAATTAAGCTTCTCTGTAGCATTCACAGATATAAAGAAATATGGTGAATTAAATAGGAAAGAACTATATAGTAAATCCCCTAGAAATTTAAATTTTGAGTCAGACTTTAATGTATTGTGTGATTTTTTTTTTCAGAAATTTTTTTTCAATTTACTACTCTAATTATAAATGTTTAGATGTGCTTTGTCCCTTAATATTTACACTTTGGGTGATTGTTCTGTGAGTGCAGCTGGAATTTGCTCTGAATATAGCCTGGAGGAGATCAATGAAAAGGAACAGAAGAATGTACAGCACAAAGAGGAAAGTGAAAGTGCAGATACCTCTCTTATGACACAAGAGGTTTCTGCCTCCTTCATTTCTACTGATGTACCACTAGATACTGAAAAAAATGATTCTGCTTCATCATCTTCAATTCCTGGCAGTGGCTCTGTAGATAACTTTCAAAGTTTCAAGGAAGAAAAACAAGAAAATATGAGCACAGATGGCAAGTAAGTACTCTTTGTAAGAAAGAAAGGGGGAGAACAAATAAACAAAATCATGAATGCTTTTTCATTGCAAAGAACAGAATAGAGATTTATAAGAAAATGGCATGAGATTAATATGTCTAAACTCTCATTTCCTTTCTTTTCTAATATAACAAGTTCATTACACAATAGTTAAATGTGGTTAAAAACATAACCACATAAACATTCCAGGCTAGTCTGTTTAGGGCCACTTTTCCTCACTTAATAAATAAAAGGCAGCTATGTTCAGGTTTCACATAGTAATAGAAATTACAAGAGATTAAAATGTTCCTTCATTGTTAATTATTATTTAAGCAACAGTCACCTTCATTGAAAAAAGTATGCAAACTAGAAATCAGGACAGTTAGCTGTCACAACAGAAGGGACTGCTACAATATTATGCTGACAATTTTGGGGAGAACAGGAAGAATGGCCTTCGCTGGATAAATGCTCTCCACTTTTATGGTCATAATTCTCAGTTGTTTTTTTTATTCATTGTTGTGTTTTCTTGTCTTTTACGCACAGGTTTTATCCATCTATCCTCAGAGAACACTGCTAATTCTCTCTCTTCTTTTACTTAGGAAAGATGTAAATATCTCAGTTTTCTTCAGAATTTTTTCCCTTTCTGATACCTCCTCAGTGTCTGACTTTGCTCTTCAGCCTGTATAACAAACTACTTGACTCAGCCGGCTTCTAACATAAAGTAGTGCCTGCTGGAAATGAAAGCTGATTGGCTAGAGAAGTTCCATAATATTCATTTAATCTACTATTCCTCTGTTCCCCAAGGGATGAAAGTTGGCCATTCTGCCCAATTTAAATTGGGGAAAAAAGCTGCTTTTTTTTTTTAACACTACTGGAGCGAACATCTGTGAGAACTTGTAGCATGCAGTCACCTCCAAAATACTGTGAGGGGTTTTGATGAGAACTGCGCAGGACATGTTTTTCCCATCCCACTAAACTTTTCAAGATTTCAAAAAGTTTCTGTTTGAACATCAAATTGAACCCAAGACCTGTTTCAGTTTTTTTTTTTTTTTTTTGGGGGGGGGGGGGCAAACAGGGAGAAATAGAGAGAGACTCAACCCAGAAGAGCCAATAGCCTGACAGTTACTCACCTGGTGTATGACAGAGGTTTAAATTCCTGGTCTGAAACCTTGGTCTCTCACATCCCGGGTGAGTGGCCTAACAACCAGGCTTTTGGGTATTTTGGAATGGGTCTCTTTCTGACCAGAAATTCCATCCTGCACCCGAGAATCCTGTCCTGATGAAAGTTTAATTGAAATTGGTATTTTTCCATGACAAATTTTGATTCTGACAAAGCAGCATTTTCTGATGGAAAAACTTTTGCTGAAAAATTCCTGACCAATTCTAGTTTTGACTTTGATCTCCACATTCTTTTTAGTCAGTCTGGGGCCAAGAGGGCCTTGCAGAAATCCCTACTCTGTCCTCTACACTATATAATTTTCTTGTTAGCTAACAAAATATTATGTTTTCTCATTGCCACTACTTTTGGTAAGAGGAAGAAAAACTTGTGTTCTACATGGACAAACGTTATGCCTGATTCTCAGCTGTACCAAAGCTCTGCTTAGTGTACCTTAGGAGATCGGAGTGCCAAAGTGGCTTTAGGACTTCTTGAACTCCCCAATTTCCAGGACTATTGAGGGCCAGTTTGGTCTATTGTGTATTAGAGCAGCCCCAGGTCTGCTCTTAGTTCTGTGAACCTGTGGGCCTTCTGTTTTGAGCATAGAAGAATTATGTATACTTGCAAAATGTATATCATGCATAGTAATATGCCGTGCTCCTATTTCTTTTTTGTTCTTCATGTTAGGATAGTTCTCAAAAGTGTAAGGAAAATATTATCTGTGCTTTTTTAAGAAAGAATTATGCACTGCACAAATTCAGACTTCTGTGGTTTTATGATCGCAAGGTATTCATGTATGGAGTTCAGTTTTTTCCCTTTTGCAGCAACATACTGTATATACAATGTGATGGACAACATCCAGAAAATTACCTCAACAAAAGAAAAGGAGTACTAGTGGCACCTTAGAGACTAGCCAATTTATTTGAGCATAAACTTTCGTGAGCTTTCACGGAAGCTTATGCTCAAATAAATTGGTTAGTCTCTAAGGTGCCACTAGTACTCCTTTTCTTTTTGCGAATACAGACTAACATGGCTGCTACTCTGAAACCCCTCAACAAAAGAATTAACATTTTGAGCATGATCTTGTGGGATCCTGAACACCTCTTGAGTGGTTTCACTGGAAATTGTGTGCTCATCAACTTGCAGAGGTTACTCGGGGCTATAAATTGGGGGAGACAATTTTGAAAAAAATTCACGTAGTGTTGCACTAAACAGAAACTGCATATGCACTGTGGTGTGTAAAGTATCATAGCAGCATTTCCTCTTATTTTTTTTTAATAATATCTGTTGAATTTTTCCAGTGTTTGGCAGAAAGATTTGATTATTTTTCTCCATCTGTCTTTGGAGAACGTTGCCAGTTCTCATATATCTTTTCTGTGTGTTTACTGAAATGAGTGATATTAGCATAAATAATGTACTGTGCTGTATTTTGCAGAGGCCCACACAGTAAGATAGACAGTGCACAAATTACATTTGAAAATGACAAGAAGTTGGGAATATTGGATCCAAACAAAAATTATGGTGAGTTATTCTGACTAATTTTTTACTAAATAAGAAAAATACTTGTAACCAAATTTGAGAAGAATTTTTGTTTCCAAGTTAATAGAACTTTCATAGTCAAAAGCATCTAAAACCACTTTATGAAGTACAGAAATTTGATACAAATAGAAGCTACTTATGCACATGCATTCAAATGCAGTAGTGTCTTGATACTTGAAAATTGTTCCAAATATAGAAGAAATTGTTCCAGTCCTAGGTTACAGAGTCTCACGACATCAATCTGTGGCTGACATTGTGAAATCACTTTCCGAATGAGTAAGACACTGTGGTTGCTGTAATTTAAAAAATCAAAACAGAAAAAAACCCTTTATTTTACATTGCAAAAGCACACGGATTGTAATTGAACTGCAGTGTGACTCAGGACATAGATTTCCCGGTACATTGCTTAATAGCACTCCCTGGCCAATTAAATTGCACCAACAGGCTCTGAAGGAAATCCTGTTTAGAATAAATCTGCTGGATAGATGGTGTCTTCTATGCTAAACCTTCAGAATGAGAGATTTAAAGCAGACAGGTGCAGCGGAAGAATGATCTCTGTAAAAGAGAGATTATATTGGTCTGAATTATGTTGCTAATCTAGCAACAGGATTTTTTTTAAAAAAAATGATGATGTCAAATGGTATTGGAAGAGTAAAACATTCAAGAAAAAATTCTCATCCCCCAATTAGCTATTTCTGGCTTTACTGGCATGATGAAAAGTTGTATTTCAAGGTTAAAAGCGTCAAATGAAATGACAGGCACCTTGTTTGAAATATACAGGAATGAGAACATCTAACGATGGTAAACTAAATTCCTTAAATCATGTCAGTTGGATTATTTTTAATTGTGGAAGTTGCTATTGCCAGGATGTTTAGATGTAAACCTGAATTTGAGCTTATTTTGTTTTTGAGGTGTTAATGCAAAGATTTAGTTATCCAGTACACATGTAGTAAACTTTACTTTTAGATTATTGTTAACAAACAGAAGAGGATCCATCATTCATGTGTGTAGTATAAAAAAAAGTTGGCCATAGTGGTTTCATTGTGTATGTAACATCTGAAGGACTGCAACACCCTTTTGATTTATCAGCCCATAATGGGTCCTTCAGAGACAATCAGAGCTTCTCTACACTAATGCGCAGGGTTGATCTAAGATACACAACTTCAGCTACGTGAATAGCGTAGCTGAAGTCGATGTAATTAGATCTACTTACCTCGGTGTCTTCACTGCGGTAAGTTGACAGCCGATTCTCTCCCATCGACTCCACTTGCGCTCCTCGTTCTGTGGAGTACCGGAGTCGACGGGAGAGCACTCAGTGGTCGATGTATCACGTCTAGTATAGATGCGATAAATCGACCCCTGCTGGATTGATTCCTGTCCGCCAATCCTGCGGATAGTATAGACAAGCCTCCAGACTTACAGTGTATGTTGCACTAGATGGATGAAATTAATGGTTTTGTGAACTTGATGAAATAATTGCCAGTTATGCACCCGAGATTGCTGAAGTACTATTGATTTTCTGAAACGGTTAAAGATTTTCTCACGTGTACATAGAGAACATAGAGGATCTGTTGATCTGTTGAACATAGAGGATCTGTTGTCAGTCATGAATTCATTTTGTGAATCTGGTGAAGACAACATTGGTGCGTTCCTGCAAATATTCATTAACTATTTGATTATAAAGAAAATGAAACGACCAAAGTGATGTTCAGTTAAACTGTGTTTTGTTTGTGTTGCAAGTTATTTGTAAATCATTTCATGAATCTGACTGTGAAACTATGAACAAAATCTATTAAATTAAACTTTTCTTGTTCCCATTGTAATCCATTGTTGCATTACATTGTTTAGAACAATGTAGAATATCCCAATAATGGTTTCTAATATGTTAATTTTTGAGTTTATCACAAATATCCTGTTTGAGAGGAAAATCAAGTTTAATTACAAAACTGCATTATGACATTGTGTTTGTGGAAATATGTTGTTTTGTAGGGAAGCAAAGGCCCTTCCACAGTTCTAGAAATGGATCATTCATTCCCCTAGAACCCATTACTTTCATGATTTCATGAACCCATTACTTTATCCTTGTAGTGTAACAAATACACACAATAAATTTTGCAAATATATAATCTTAAATAGTTGCACTCCTTCAGATACATGATTGAGTGTTTTTATTAATCCAATCTACTTTGTTTTTTCATATTTATAATTCAAATAATTTAAAACTAGTAAACCTCTATTTTTAATACACACCTAAAATACATCAGGGAGAGACATTTATTTTAAAAAAATCATTTGAACTTAGGATAATTAATTTTATAGTAATGTGTTTTAAAGTGAATTTTGGAAAGGTTCAGATGTGATTCATATCCCCAAAATTTAAGACAGGCCACTTTAATATACACTCCTGGAAGAACAGATATGCAGTAATTGTGTTGCTCAAATATTTTTAACTGCATCAGTGCAGAAATGCTAGAAACATCTGGCAAATCACATCTTTTTATGTGAAGGAATATAGTAGGTACACAAACAGCAGAGACACGGGACCAAACAAGAATTGCAGGATATAATCTTGAATAGTCCTTACCAGTTTGTAGACCATGAGCTATACCTTATATACAATGGAATGAAATGCAGACATCCTTCGTGCCCCAAAACCTTAAGTGGTCCCTAAACAGGCTTGACCGTCTGGTCTATCTATGACACCAACAGCCTCAGTGGGTAGTATTACTACAGTATTTTTCATTAAAAAATATTAAATTGGAAAAATTACCAGTACTAATCAAGCTAAAATATCTTTCTAGTGTCTTGAAAGGGTATAATAAGGGAAAGTTTATTATTTCTAAGGAACCATTTCTAATGGTAAAAGAAAATGGGGGTATCGGGCTTCATGATTTAAACAAAAAAGTCAGGCTGTTTGATATTCATATTATTTGAGAAATATATTTTTTCTTTTAAAGATCATAATGGCACAAGATTCCTTCCAGCAACCATAGGAGAAAAAGAAAATCGACGTAAGATGGGAGAAATTAATACAGCAGATGTCAGAGAAGAAAATAAGCTTGAAGTTGAGAGACTATCAAACTGCCAAGAGTATAAAAATGACATCTCTATAAATCAGAATGATAATCCTCAAGTGAATCTAGGAATACAAGATCAGAAGCTAATTCAAACTAACATGGAGATAGTAAAAACTCAGGATGTTGCAATTCAGACAACTCCATCTGATAATAGTTTTGGCAGGACTACACTAAGTGAAATGATTGTCCTTCAAGATTGTGAGTCATCCACCTTCAAAGGAGTAGCCCACATGCAGAATTTAGATAGGGACAGTCCATCTTTGCAGTTGATGAACAAGGTGCAAGAGTCTGTAGAGGTTTCAACAGAATTCAACCATCAGAGACAAGACGCTGCGGATGACAAAGCAATTCCCATACAAAATCAAAGTAATATATATGAGAATGATAGTAGTTTTACCCCATCAGAGAGAGCTCCAAAAAGTGCAATTAATTCTCCTATTAAAAGTTACCCACTTTATAGACCAGACTTCAAACCTAAACCTAAACCCTCTAATGAAATTACAAGAGAATATATTCCCAAAATTGGAATGACTACTTATAAAATAGTGCCTCCAAAATCTTTGGAAATATTGAAAGGTGGTGAGTCAGATGCTATGTCAGCCATTAAGGATCAGATTGGTGTCACCTTGGAAATGTCCCCACAGTCAGAGAATTCAAAAGAATTTGGAGTGCAAACTGAAATTCTTAGGGTTTCAAAAAGCACAAGTCAGTCAGAGTCTGGTTTAAAATATGAACCTGCTTTGGCAGTGAATGATCAGCTGCACAAAACTAACAGCATTACTGACAGTGTCTCAACTTCTGAAATTGGGATTACTACTGAAAGCAAGCACATAGAAACAGAGGCTTCCAAACCCAATCTAGGTAATGGCATAACTCCATTGATGCTAAACTCGGGTAACACAAATTCTTCACCTGAGACTCAAGAAAAATCAAGTGTTTTCAGTCCTACAACGAAACCTAGTTCTTTTTACTTACAGATGCAAAGAAGGGCTTCAGGTCATTATGTAACATCTGCAATTGCCAGAAGTGTCAGTGCTGCTACAAGTCCTACTCAAAGAGAGGCTACAAATACAGAGAGAGAAAAAAATTTGACGGCATCAGATCAATCTTTATTTCCTTTACATAAAACATATAATTTCCCTGCTGAATTAGATGAAGAAAAGGTTGATAATGAGAAAAAAATTGACACTTTTACTTCTGTCAAAACTGCTAAACCTTTGAGTTTCCCCTCCTGTCAGCCAGCAACATTGAACTTAAGAACTCTTAGAACTTTTGCAGTTCCAAAACCATATTCCAGTTCTAGGCCATCCCCCTTTGCTCTTGCTGTCTCATCGGCAATCAAAAGATCACAGTCATTCAGTAAACCACATACCATCAGTAGCCAGCCATCAAAAGAGGAATCTCCTGTTGAACTATCCTCAGCACCTTCCACAGGAGATGTGAAGAACCAATTTTTACAGACCTTAACAGGAGGTTCACAACATAATATGATGGATAAGGTACATTTTACAAAATTTAATATTTCTTGAACATTAATCATTATATATTTCACAGAAGAGTGAGATTCACTCTGTCCCTTCTTTGAATAGTTCATAAATATTAGTAGGCTTTGGATTAATAGCATATAAACATCTAGTGGGTGCATTCTGCTGTAACAGCACCATATACAACATTTCAATGGAATATAGGAAAAAGAAGTAATCTTGTCTTGTACGGACTTTATAGAGGATACTTATATTAAATGAAATTTTTCAGCAAAATTGAAAATGCTGAGAAATAATTTTGTCTTACCATAATTAATAATGTCTCAAACTTATAAGCAAAGAAAAAATAACTGGATCTGGTTTATCTATGCATACCTATTTTCATATTCAGAGTTGTTGATTTTGTTTTTTAAAAAGTACCATGCGTAAAACTAGTTTTTACTTACTTAATTTTTGAGTGATGTCCCAGAATAATCATTTGAGGGACACTGAAACAGGATATCTGTAAGGATGCTGATTATCTTCTGGTATTACTAGCACAAGTCAACAGTATTATGTAACCTGACTGGCATCCAGGGGTTGAATTGGAAAAGTAGAGTTAGTGGAACTCTTCAAAAGTTTGCCCTGTATAATGTCTATCACTTTAGATGCTACAGTGAGATGCTAATGTTGATAGATTGTGCAGATATTCAAAGTAGGATCATGCATGCTTCCTGGGATCAGCTCCCTTACGGAATCAAATGTCCTATTTGTACACGTTGGACTTGGGTACTCTTGAGTGGCGGGGAGAGAGCAGTGGTCCTCTCCCAAGTCTACCCACTTATGGCCCCAAAATGAGCTGTTACTAAGAGTAAATTGTGTAGCTCATCATAGTATGTTTTTTTAAAATGTTTTAATGAGTAATTAAATATTTATCAACATTGACATTTAAAGTATCATAATTGGGCTGTAACACCTACTCAGATGAATGGGGAAGTTCATACATTTGAGCTGTTATTTCATGTATTCTGCAAATTCAGGCAGATGTCACTGCTTCAGTTGCATCCAGTTCACATTTAGAAGGTTTTTTGTTTTGTTTTGTTTTGCAACAATAAAAGCTATATTTGCATATAGTAAAAGCTGAGATTTCAGACAGCAACTGGGCAGCTTGGGAGGGGCATCTATACTATGCAGTGGCCTAATTCTAGCCCTGCTGGCATCTGTATTTTTGTATGATTAAGTTGAGAGTATGAATTCAGTTCTAACTGTGTGAATATTCCTGGAAATCTTATACCATTCATCCTGTGGTAAAGCAGTATCTGTCTATTTCCTAAGGCTTTTGTAGTCCTAATAAGGAACTTGCAGGCATAGAAATAAATTTGTTTGATATTAATTAAACTACGTGAGATGATTATGTGGAGAATTTTATAGACATCTTGGGGAGAAAATTCCCCATATTTAACAGTAAAAAAGTTCCTTAAATCCCTTCCGGCCTATAACTTGTTCAAAACCAAGGTATAATTCCCAGATGCTATTTTATGGCATCCTCAGCTGGGTGCTGTCACATCACATCATAAATTACTTGCGAAGTGAATGTACAAAATGAAGGCTGTTCCCTGAAATCTTGCATGAAGCAAAATGAGGATACAGTGCTGTAATATTTGGCCAGACTGCTTCAGATATCCATTTATGACCTCACTCAAATAAAATGCTTTGATTTTTTTTCCCTAATAGAAAAGTAATTGTACAAACAATGAACAAAACAGCCAGGTGCAATCTTCAGTTGACCACCCAACTTCTGTTTTTGAGAGAGAAACTGCTTTAACGTTCCAGAGCTCTGACCCAGAACAGATCCACCAGAGTCTGCTGGCTGCTATCCGCTCTGGAGAAGGTGCTGCCAAATTAAAAAGGGTGAGTTTTCATCATCACATCAGTAACAATGGACTTACAGTGCTTATTTCAAAATTACCAAATTAATACCTAAAAGCAATCAGTCCTGGAACTAATCATGACAAGGGAGTCTCCTGAAAGTGTGTTTAGTTGTACCAAAGCAGATTTGTAAATGTACCTGCAAGAAGCTTATGCTGTCATTTTTTCAAATAGAGAAAATATTATGTTTCTGAAATACATTTTATATTAAAAATTATTAAGGCTCCACTTTAGCAAAACACATAAGCATATGCTTATTTCTGTTTAGCAAAGCACTCAGACATACGTATCTATTTAAATGCTTTGCTGAACAGGGATGGTTTTAAGCACGAGAGCTAAATCGGCCACAACTTTCTGCCAAAAGTACACATGCAGAAGTTGTAAAGATTAATTTCCTGTTGATTGTTGATACTATAGACACACTTAATTCTTTTTATATTTTAAAACTTGTGTCTGCTTTTTGGTTTCATTAGCCAGAACAATCTTATTTTTCATACAATGTTTGTAAGTGTTTTGTGGCTAGTGATTCCGGAGAGAATTAAGTATGCATCTTACTGCAAGAAGTGCTGATATTTTCCTGTTTCTAGAATGCAATGCTACGTAAGAAAAATGATCCCTTAAATGGAAACCACAATAGTTAATCAAAAAAAATATTATGAGTAGTTGTAATTCATTCTATTTGTGGGCTGAGATATTATAGTGATATTTACTTAGTAAATGCTTTAAATAATTAGGAAACATGGAAATAATATAAAAAAAATCACCAGTGTAAAGGATTAAGTCATGAATTAGCCTGCTCTATTCTTGAATACTCAAATGACTGGAGATAAATGGCTTGCTTAAAGCATGGTTCTTTTTTATTGTTACCATGAACAATCTGACACCTCAGAAGAACATTCTTTTTAAATTATTTTGCAGAATAAATATACTGTGTTTTTTAATAAGTCAGATCATTCCATAGTTTCAATTTATATTTCCCTCAGTTAGATGATATTTGCAGATCTACCTTTTACAACAGTATTGTTAATTAGAAACCTTTAAAAATACTCTGGCTTGGTTTGATAGACATTCTCATTTGTATCTTTCTGTCCTGAACCCCAGTTTTTTGTCTTCCACCGGCGTGCTAAAGTATGACCTATTACTGCAGAACCCTGTCTCTTTTGAAGATTCAGAGCTTTGTTACCCACTTACCCAACCCCTCCAAAAAATCCCTATTGCGAAGCAATTATTTTATAGAAGTCTTTGATTCCTTAGAACCATATTCAGGAGAACATGGGTTCTGTGGGTTCTGTATTTTGACACCTAAACATCTTATATTACATGGAAAACCTCTCTCTTAACAGAAGTATGGCAATGGAATAGCATCTTTGAGTTTCCCAGGCCCCCCTTCTTCTTCACACAGATTGAATAGTCCTGCTTCCTCAGAATGGTCACAAGTGGAAAGTCAGCATGATCGGTCAGTCAGTCCAGTGTGCTGTCAAGGTGGTGCACAGTTAGAAGCTGTATTGCAGTGAACTAGTTGTCAGCCACTTACAAATCATTTAAGGACAGTGGATGAGATTAATCAAACATTGAATCTTTTGGAGACTTGATGAAGGTTGGATCTATCTGATGTACAAGAAACATGCCTGCTTTTTATTATGTAGCTTTCTGATTATTGTTACATAGTTGCATTGTGAACCATATTGAAACTGAAAATACAGTGTTTAAAAAAAGTGGATAAAATATGAAAATATCAAAAATATGTAAAACCTGTTTGCAATACTTGCCATAATGCCTGATAACTTCTTTGAAAAAATAAGATTGATAAAGTGCTCTTCAGAATTCAAGAAACACATCAAGCATAGCTGGAAAGCTGGAAAAAGGTTAGCAAGGAGTTCCATAACTTTTTGATTTTCAGTACTTTCCTTGGCTAACTTTGTACAAGTAGAGAAGTTTTGACACTCCCTGCCCGAGGAGTTGACAATCTAAAGGACAGAAAAATATAAACAAGAGTCTCTCAGAATAACTGAATTTGAAAGTTTTTCTAGAATAGTGGAATATTGAAATGGAGCAGCATTTTTATGGACCTTGTAGAAGATGTGTGTTTTCAGGGAGGACTTGAAGGATGGAGTGAAGGAACCTAAAGCATTCTACAGCATGGGGGCCTGGGAGGATTTCATGAAGTCTGTTCAAATATAGGGGCACTTGAAACTCCAGATGTGTAGAATGCTAATCACTGCACTGTTTTCTTTGTAACTAATAAAGGGGAGGTGACATATGACGCGGTGGGGGGGGGCATGGGGAGAGAAATTGTGGCATCAACTTTATTTTTAGGCTGTTGTGCTGATGAATTGAGGCAATGTTTTTATTAAAAGCTTAAAATTGAGAACAGGGCATATTGTAACCAATGGAAAAATAAAACGCCTTTGTCAACAGGGTATAAGTATCCAGATAGTCAGTGATCCTGGTTGGGAAGGGCATTTTAGGTGAATTAACTCATAGCTTCCATTAACTGGTTCTATGAGTGCTGACTGGCTACTATTTGGTCCTATTGAATTGGGTAAAAGGTCTGTCGGGTGCTTGCCATCCCCCTTCCCTGATGCAGCTCTGTAAGGGTGGCATTCAAGAAACCAGACAAAAATACTACCATGGCTAGCCAAGTCTTTTTTCTTCTTTTTCCTTAATAACTTGCCAGAGTGTAGAGCCAAGATCTGTGGCCTTTTGTGCCGTGGATCTTTTCTGTTGAATGGAGCCTTCAGTAATTACTAATCTAAATGGGTCAAATGAGGTTGTTTTTAAACAATTTTTCTCTCTTCAGAATATTTTCATTGTGCTAGTAAACTCTGTTCAAGATCTTTTCAGTGGTATCTAATCTTAGGGCCTGATTTTTAGGATCACAGAGCACCCACAACTCCCCCAACTTCATTTGGAGTTTGTGGTGTATTCAGCACTGTTGGGGAAAAAAAAGGCCTTACATGTCTTAAATTAACAGGTTTATCACCTAGTAAAACTTTACCACTCAGTAAAAAATTCATTGCAGTATCACAGAACACACTTAAATCGAGAATTATATCTGGAATCAGTTCTAATGTGTACTTGACTAAAAGAAGATGTGGATGTATTCACTGAATAGATTGCTTTTCACATTTTTTTTTGAGATGGCAGCAGAGCTCCAGACACAGTCAATAATTGTATTAAGTGTGCAGTTTGTGAAGAGTTGTTTCACCCTTATTGCTGACCAAAGTGTACATGCTGTGGAAGTAGTAAATATCTGGTTTCGTAATTTATAACTTGATTGAACTTCAAAAAAACGATTGCTGCATTTGTAAGCTAGTAGTGAATAAAATATTACAGGGAAAAATTCATTAAAATTGGACAAATATTTCTATTTCAGCAGCGTGATGATGATTTTCTTTTCTCCTAGGTTTCTGCTCCATCAAATACTGTATCTGTCAATGGAAGATCCAGGCTCAGTCACTCATTTTCCACAGAAGAAAAATATAACCATTAGACATTATACCAAATATTTTTGCACTTTAGTATCATTGCCTAGGCTAAATTAATACTAACTGCAAATTTTTGCAAATGTAAATGCAGGTGTATGTCACTATACATTGTTAATTAAAATATAGGAATTTCATGCTGGATCTCTTAATTCCTGGGGAAGGTTTATTAGAATATGTAATTTATAGTAATATTTTTGCCTTTTTTGTAAAAGCTGAAAATGCTGCTTCAGAACTTTAAGATGAGGTGCAGATGAGTTTCATTTTCGTTTAAATGAAAATCAAATGTTGATTTAATTTTGTACTGTTAAGACTGAATGACATGTAGCAACATGCTGAAAAATACCGATTTAGAGGAGTCTGAGAATTTCAGATTTTTAAGTTTATAATTGTATAATACTAATGTTAAATTGTGAGTTTAAATATACATCTGCCACTTGTTGCCTCAATGTTATTTTGTTAAATTAAATATTGTAATTAGCAGAAAATCTTAATTATATTCAATGAAGCACACTCTAGAATTTCATAGAAAATGGGTGTGTTTTCCTTTTTTCAGCTAAGAGTTGGAATCGATACCATTTGGCTTTTACTCTCCTTAACTTTTTTCCTAATAGCACAACAAACATCAGGACAAAAATGATCTGAAGTTTTTCATTCTATTTTAATATTTTCTTTACACTAATATTATTTGGCTTTTCTCATTTTGCTCTATAACAAGTAATTTTTGTGAATAGCTTTTTCTCATAATATTCGGATAAGCAATATGTACCAGATACCTTTTTAAATATTGTCATCGACAGGTAGAAACAATGGTAGGGAAGAAAAAATCCAGTTTTGATATTTAGTGAAAGAGAAATAAAAGAAATGTGCTCACATGAAATATAACTAAAAAGATCCTAAAATGCTTTGAAATTATTCATAAACAGTTTATTATAGTCTTAAATCAGCACAATAATGGGAAAACAAAGCACATTATACAAAAGTCTGTATTTATAGAATAAGCATTTGCTACTGAAATAGAAAAGAGGTGAAGCTGGAACACTATATAAAAAGAAATGCCTAATAATAGATACAGTGTTTATCAGTTTCTTTCTTGTCAAGATGATACTTTTTTAGGGGAAAATGGGATTATAGTGATGATTTAAAAAAACTGGATTGTAGATATTTACTGCAAATATTGAGATATTTGCCATTTTCTAAAATATTTCATGTTGGGTTTTGGTTGAATAAAAGTAATTGTGTTTAGTTTTAGTCTTTAACAATATTTATTTTGTGTTATAGAAACCATTTGTAACATTCAGTGGTATTTTAATTGCACAAATTGGTTTATAATTGCTCATTTAAGTAAAGGTTTATTTTGAAGAATGGCATACTGCCAATGATTTTTGTGCAATAATCTGGGATCAATGTACATTACTTTCACTAGTTGGGAGTGGTCACAAGTAAAACTATATTAAAGTTGTAACAATGATTAAACACCTAAGACTGTCCTAGTAAACAGTAATTCTTAAATACTAAAGCAATGAATATTTATTCGCACAATCCTGTTGTCTCATACATTCTGTTTTTACCCCGAAATCCACTGATAAAATGTATCCCTCTTTTTTCCCCCCACTTAAGAATAGATCCCAAATTTTGAATGGGAAACAAATAATCAGTTGAGTTTTCAGCAGATCTTTCCAAATGGCTGCTTCATAAATCACAGGAAAAATGGTGGCATCTATAACAGGGGAACAATCTTTTCTCTTTCATGCTTAGCTTTTCTAGATGTCACTGTGTCTTTAGAGATATATTTAGAAAATATAACCAGCTATAGCTGGTTTCATGAATAAAACTAGTTCTCCTAGTGACCCTCAGCTTTGCTGTACTATATTCTGATTTATACTATGCTGATTGCACTATTAAAGGAATCCCCTTCCATCTGCACCTGGATTTTTAACATTTCAGTTTTCTTTCAAGTAATAGTTTACTGCCAAAATATTAGTAAAGCTACCTCATATGACTAATTCAATTTCACACATGGTGACTTTAGACTATCTGACCTTTCACAAGTTGGTACCTGTGGAGCCTAATTCTTCTGAGTCAGGAGGAAAGATCAACTTGCATTCTTCACCTGCTGACTTTACCCTTGACTTTGACTGCACCACTACTGTATAATCCCCTTGTAAAGGTTCGGACTCACCCCTGCGGTGCCTCCTGCTGGTAGTCATTGGGAATTAGCTCATCCAGCCCCGGAGCACCCTCTGCAGGCCAGTGATCTGCCTTACCGCTGGCCCCCGTGTCTCTCCGAGAACCTGGTGCCCCTTTCTCTGGGGTGCTGCCCCACCTGGCAGTATCCCCACACTCTCGGGTTCTGGGTCTCCCCACCCAGTGGAACCCCCACCCTCTAACCCCACCTCGCCTCAGTCTGGGCTACTGCCAGTCCCCACTTAACCCCTTATATCGGGGGCAGACTGCAGGTATATGCCACTCATCACTGGCAAGGGGGTTTTGGACCTGCTACCTCTGCTTACTCATGGGCTGCCCCTCTGCAACCCTGCACCTATTTGGCCTGTAGTCAGGCCTGCAGCCTGAGGCTTTCCAGGCAGGAGCTCCCAGCTCCTCTGGCCCTTCCCCAGCCCTGCTCCAATCTAGGTGTCCTGCTCGGCACCTTCCAGCCCAGCCCTTCTCTTCTCCCTCTCCCTCTCCAGGCAGTGGGAGACTGATTGGGCTCCTGGCTCACAGCCTCTTACAGGGGCCAGCTGGGCCTGATTGAGCTGGCCACAGCTGCTCCCTTAATCCGGCTAGGCTTTTCCCCACAGCCCCAGCCCTCTCCCTGGGTTGGCCTCAGCCCAGTCAGGGCCGGAGCGTGTAACCACCCCACTACACCCCTATATCCATGTATGCAAACTGGCTTGCACTGAGGATATTAAGGTCAGAATTGCCCTGATCTATAGGCATATATGGCAGAATGGCCATAAGTTAAAAGGACACCACTACAGTGAATGTGAGTTCTAGAAGGCAAGTATACTGGTTGTTAATTGTTAATCTATCACAATTCTAGACATCTGGGCCAATCCCTTCCCTCTGCAGCTCATGGAGACCGATCAAGTCTTGGTGTGGTGTGCTCTGGCCACTCCTCTTCTCCTGCTTGCCACTAGATTCTCTGCCTCAGTGGCAGTGTGTGGACAGGGGTACCTCCCACCTATTTTCTGCTTTTCAGGGGAGCTTTTCCTGGCTATTTTAGGAGCAGTGTGAGGAGTGTCTTCCCTCTCCAGCCTCTTCCTCCTCCCTGTGTCAATTTTCATCTGGGTGATTTAAACCACCCTGAGCCTCTGCTTCAGTGCCTCCCTACTGGCTACTCTGCACTTCTCTGGTATGGCAGAGCAGCCTAAAAAGCACCAAACACAATTTAGGAAATGCTCCATCTTTGGGACAGCCTTCCCAGGCTTGGCGGATGGTGAGTTATGCCCAGCCCTTCTGTTCCTAATTCCATTACGTCCCAGGGCTATGTGGGACCCTTATTCACCAGAGCAGCTGCAAATCCAACATGAGGAAAATAGACCAGAAGTCGCTGAGCAGAGCAGGGAGAGGCTCTACAGATGGGGAGTACACCAGCCAGCTGATTCAGGAGGTATGTCCCAAAGGACCCCTGGAGAACAGAGACAGAAGACTTGCAGAGTCACAAATTCCCCCACAATCTTCAAGAGAGCCCTGGGAAAGGAAGAAGGTGAATAGCTAAATAGCTCTTCATAAATAGCTCTTCCCAATTTGGCTGGGGGGCTGTGGCATCATATCCCCTCCCTCATCCCTGGGTGAATGGGACCCATCAGGGAGGACTCAGAGAGAGAGAGATTGAGCTTGTGAAAGGACTTCTGGCCCTAAGGAAGGCTAGCTGCAAAAAAAAAGGCCTCACCAAAGCTGTGAGAGCTCATACACCCTCAACGTGCGCCCCCTCCTACCCACCCCCCAAAATAGAGAGGGGGAAAAAGGGAAGGGAAAAGTCAAAAAGGTCCTGTGATTCTTCTTCCTCCCTCCTCCATTGAGGACAGCAGGTTGTTGGACTCTGAACCTGAACAGGATTGGGGCAAACTCAGCAAAGTTGGTTTTTTTCCTTTCTTTTTTTCTTTCCACCTGAGAAATACGAGGCCCTGTGAAGCCAAGGTGTGTGCTCTACTCAGATTCACCTGAACAGACTCCTGAGAGTAAGTGCCAGAGTAAATTCCTTCCCTCAAAATCCTCCCTTGAGGCTGTGATTCACCTATACCAATTCTTTGAGGAAGTGATGAGGGGTGAATGGAACCCTGATAAAGGCAAGCACATTAACAAAAATGACCTCAGGTTCTATGAGATTCAGGAACAAAAGGATCCTATTGCAGAGATACCAAAGGTGGACACTGCTGCAGCATCCCTGGCAATAGATATGGTTATTCCCTCAGAAGAGGAATTCTACCCTAAGAACCCCAAGGCTAGAAAAATGGAGGCCGCTCTCAAAGAGCCACCCTTAGGGCATCCCTGGCAGCTATCTGCTTTGCAAGGGAATCTCTCTACTGGCTGGAAGATCTCAGGTAGAGATCACCTTAATATCAGCTCTATTTTAAAGAGAGTTTCCCTGATAACAACATTCATAGCTAATGAATCAATAGATGCAATGAGATTCACTGCCAGAGCCATGACCTCCAGCTCAGTAACAAGGTGCCACATATGGCTCCAACCCTGGAAAGCAGATCTCCACTCAAAGCACTCGGAGCTCTGCCAAATCTACAGGCTCTCTTCTTTTCGGGGAAAAGCTATGCAAGTTAGCAGCAGACAATGTGGAAAAATCCAGACAGTCTCTCCTGACACCACTTAATACCTTCAAGAAAGAGTACAGATCGGCCTTCAGACCAAGGTGCAATTTTGTCCTTCATCCTCTAGAGATACCAGCAAAGGGACAGCAGGTTTTCCAAAGGAAAGCTGTGCAACTGAAGTTTGGGAGAAAGTCCACAGGGAACGCCACCCCTCCCAAAGTCTCTTTATGACAAAGACCACATAGGCCTCTGCCCAGAGCTAAAGGTCGTGGGGGAGTAAGAATTTCCTATTTCCTGGATGAATGGAGTGCATCAACCATGGACCAGTGGGCAGAGGCATACAGTGAATCAGGGATACTCTCTCGAGTTATGGGATTCACCCCATCCATTTTTCAACCAGTACGCTGTCTTCGACGACCCTGTAAATTGCAATTTAGTCCAGAACGAGGTAGCTCATCTTTTGGATATGGAAGCAATAGTGTGTGTTCCCTCAGATGATAGAATAGAACCCTGAGAATCTATCTTCACTTTTCCAAAGCACATGGGTGACAGTCTGAGCCATTCTCAATCTCAGAAGGTTGAACAAGTGAATGAAGAAAAAGTTCCAGATGGAGATCCTGGCCTCTCCAGTGTCATCCCTACACCAGGGGAATTTTCTGACATCAGAGAACAGTCAACCTGGTGGATGCATCTCTCCATATTCCTATCAAACCTTGCCACTGCAGATATCTGAAGTTTGCTTTCAGCGTTATCTGGACCCTCCTATTTGGCCTGTAGTCTGCCCCCAGGGTCTTCACAAAGATGGTGGTGGTAATCATAGCCAGATTCAGGTCACAGGTATACCTGTATCCTTTCCTGGACAATGTCTTGATGAGAGCTCCATCCCCAGCAACAGCGTACAGAGAGACATCTCTGACTCTGCATCTGCTGCAGGTGCATGGCTTTGTTGTTAACGTCAAGAAAAGCTCCATCCACCAAAATAACTCACCTAGCAGTGGACATAGACACCACAGTAGCAAAGTCATATCCATCTTATGTGTAGGGATCACTCCCTGGACCCATTCATGCATCAGGCACCTTCAAGGCTTCATCTTAAAGGTGTGGGACCACTCACTAGAACACATGAAGAATTGCATAAAAGTCCCAACACAGATGCTGAGCTTCTTAAAATGGTGGTCAACCCAGGACAAATGTCTGCAAAGGTAGGTCCGTATGTCTTCCAGATCCTCTAGTTCTCACAACTGACGCCAGCTTGGAGGTCTGGGGAGCATGCTTAGGGTTCCAAAGAAGCTCAAGGCGTTTGGAGCCTGGAGGAAAGGGCTTGCAGCATAAACCTCCTAGAGCAGTTAAATTGGTGCTGCGATGGTTCCAATCCAGTCCAATCCACATCCTCATTCAGTCAGACAGCATGACCACAGTTGAATATGTGAACAACCATGAGGGAACAAGGAGCCAAGTGCAGAAGTAACGGAAATCATTTGATGAGTGGAGCACTTTCTCTTATCCCTCAGAGTGATTCACATAAAAGGAGACCTGAACCAAAAGGCAGACTGTCTTTCAGCAAGCACAAGGTCAATAACCCCAAGTAGTGCCTGTATCAGGTGGTCTTCAAGTTAATCATCCAAACATTTGGCCTTCCTTCAATCAACCTATTTGTGAACCATAGGAGTGTGAAGAGATCAAAATACTTCACCAAAGAGGTGGACCCCAGATCCAGGGGGACAGATGCCCTGTTGCATAGATTGCTGCA